CCCACTAAAATGGCCGGCCGGCTCTCTGAGTTTTGGGGTCCAAGGTCTGAGGTCTGAGTTTTCCAGACCTGAGTTTACTAGACACCCCAATCAGAAAGTAGTGTTTCTCCAATTCAAAAACGATAGTTCATCGGATTCTTCGTCGTTAATTCAAAATAAATACGACTCGTTTATTTAGAATGCGATACTAATAATATTTAAGGTAACTTTTATTTCATAACCAAGTATAACATCGGCTACTGTCAAGCTTTCGTACGTCGTGCAGATGTATCAGAGCCTTGCATATTTCGCCATGTAAAATGCATGCGTTACTTAATTCGCCATGTAAACCGCATGCATTACTTAATTCGCCACATAAAATTTATGCGTTACTTAATTCTCCATGTAAAATGCATGCGTTACTTAATTCTCCATGTAAAATGCATGCATTACTTAATTCGCCATGTAAAATGTATATGTTACTTAATTCGCCACGTAAAATGCATGCGTTACTTATTTCGCCATGTAAAATCCATGCGTTATTTTAATTCGCCATGCAAAATGTATGCGTATCTTATTTCGCCATGTAAAATGCATGCATTACTTAATTCGCCATGTAAAATGCATGGGTACAATCATGTATCTTATTTATTTTTGCGTTATTATAATTCGCCATGTAAAATGTATGTGTATGAGTTATTTTAATTCACCATGTAAAATGTATGGGTTATTTTGAATCGCCATGTAAAATCTGTCACTTAATTTTGACCCCAAAAAAGCGCCATAGAATTTGGCATATTTGTCAGTATCACAACTGTAACATTTTACCTTTCGATTTAAAAGGAATCCTTCATTTCTGAAACTCTCAAACAAAACTGTAGATTCGAAATATTGATGCTTAATCTACTAATTCCTATTAAATGAAAGGGCAAGTTTCTAAAGCATGTGTGGGATTCTTTAGGAGGGGGGAGGGGGTGGTTGGGTGAATTACAACATTGGGCCATTCTACCTCTACATTGTCACTTCATTTTATTTATCAAGTTTAGCTAATTGCCCATCAATCCCTAAATTGTAGTTTGAATTTTTATTTTTTTAGTAGGCCCTTTTTGCTTATCAACAGGGTGTACCACAGGGTACTATACTAGGGTTTTCGTAATGTTTAAAGATACACAAGCTGTTGATTCTGACAGATCCACTTAATTTTAGAGTAAGTGTGTTGGTTAAGGGAACCCAGTACCAAACTCCCTGGGACAAGCAAATTATTGTTCTTCTCAGCAAAGCGGGAAGGCGTATACACATATTACAAGTGTGTAAGAAGTATGGCTATAGTCTAGATCTCTTCCATGGTCTGATTATACCTTTTCCTACCTATGGCATTTCATTGTGGGGTACTGCAAGTTATAATGAGTATTTCTTTCTAATATTGATAAGTTTCAGAAGAAAGCAGTTTGTTTTGGCTTTCTCAAGAAGGCCATACCAGTTTTAAGCCTTCTACAGGCCTCAGATAATAAGTTGTGAAGAGCATCACAAATTCTACCGAGGTCCCTTTGGCAGATCTCCTCCCACCCAGTAAAACAAGATTGCTAAGGGATTTTAGTCACTCTTTTGTACTTCATCAAATTAAGACTGAACATTTTAAATAGCTCTGTTATATTGATAGGTGTCTTTTCAATTCTATCTAATATTTGTGAATTGTAATCTGGAATTATGTTTTTTTGGGGGAATTAATAAGGGGCTTATTTATTTATTTATTGCATCAACTTAGTTGATTATATAAAACAAATTTTTGTTTACATTGCTATTAATTTATTTTCTTTCATTTTCATTTTTTTCTGTGACTGGTGCACTTTTTAAATAAGGTTAAATTTTCTTTTAATGCTAGTCCATTAACACTGATCATGATTAATATAGACATCACTTATTGATGACTTACATGCAATAAGTTCTTATACATGTAAGAAGGCACTTTGCTTCCCAACTAAATGTTTCCATGCATGCAGTGAGCTCTCTTTTTGCCCAAGACTCTGCAAGTATTGTGTAAGAAACTTAATCATTGTCTTAGTAGTTTTAGATGACAAGGGATCAATGTAAAGAGTTAGAAATACAATAATTATCATGGTGATAATTTTTGTATTAAAGAGTGAAGCAAATTATGTGGGCGTGGTGTAAAAAAAGAGGCAGGACTTGTAATTTGGAGTTCAAATCCTGCTAGCTGGATTTGTTCTTGGTAGACACGAGTCCAAATCCTCTACCGTGCTTGTAAAATAGCCAACTGATTTACCTCCTACCAGTTGGGATTTTCAATCATGTTATGTTCTCTTATGGGTAATCAAATGGTATACTTCTCCTGCTATGAGAGGTCCCTCACCACGCCTCATTGTGAGAGACCTGCTAGCAGGGAAATGGTATACTCGTAAAATTAGGGAATAATTTCACTTGCATTTTGTCGAAATCCTAATAATTCCCATTGCCTTTGTTATCTATTAATATCATGGGTGGCAAATTATGTTCACAATCATAGGTTTTTGACAGTGTTCATCGAATGGATTATCAATGTAGAACTCCATGCAATGAACATGTTAGAGCTTAAATTTTTTGGCTTAAACTCAGAATTTTCAGAATTTTTCAACAACATACCTGACAAAATCCTTCTTGATGTGCTCTTTTGTGTGTTTAGGTTTTCCAAAGCGTCTTTTAATGCCATGTCATATCTTCACTTTGCTGCCATCTTAGCACTGATACGTACGCGCAAGGTTGCCATGGCAATGTTGTAATTTCATGTGTAAAATTATAAATTAACGAAGAAATTTTGGTGCCAAAATTAAGGAGTAATTCACCACTCATGATATTAGTTTCAGCTATCCCTGAAAAGCCCCATTATAATAATAATAATAATAATAATAATTATTATTATTATTATTATTATTATTATTATTATTATTATTATGTAAAATTTAGCACAGGGATTTTCCCTGGGGAGAAATATCCAGTCAAGTCTCATCCCGAGACCTCAGACTTCCAGCACCTTTCTGAGGATATGTGCCTATTCGAGGAGTGCCGACTTTTGCATCGTTCTTGCTCGGTTTTTAATTCCTAGTTGCTCCAAGTGGCCTCCCAGCTTCTTTGACACTGAACCCAATGCACCTACAACCACTGGCACCACTTTTGTCCTTGATTTCCAGATCCTTTGAATCTCTCTTGCCAGGTCTTGGTACTTTTCACACTTTTCAGGTTCTTTCTGCAGTATATTACTATCTCCGGGAACAGCTATGTCCACAATGATTGTTTCCTTTGCCTTCTTTTTCTGAATTACAATGTCTGGCCCCCTGTGATGGATTTCACGGTCTGTTTGGATGGTAAAGTCCCACAACAGTTTAACCTCCTCATTCTCTTCTACGCTTTTGGGGGAATGCTCATACCATTTGTCACTGCACTCAACTCCATATTCCTTGCACACCTCCCAATGAATGACCTGCCCAACAACATCATGCCTGTTTTTATATTCTGTCTGCGCAAGCTTGGGGCAGCTACACAAAATATGCTGCACAGTTTCATCGTGGCTTTTACGGCGTTTGTTTTTAGTGCCTGATCTTGCGCGGCAAAAATAAGCCCTTCTGTCTCCTTCTTCAGTTCACCAGTTCTTATCGACTCCCAAGACACACCAGATAGGTCATCTGTCTCTCTCTTGAACTGCCCATGCAGCTGCTTTCCAGACCAGTCCTCAGTTCTTTTCCTCCTCATCTTTTCCTTATATTCCTTTGGCGTTTCAATTTCATTGACATTCTTCCTCTTCCATGCAGCTTTCAACAACCGTTCCTGGCTCTGGCAGACGTAGACATTGATATTTCTTTCTTCAATATTAATGGCATCCTCAACACTAATTAGTCCACGCCCTCCTTCCCTTCTTGATAGGTACAAGCGGCTTACATTGGACCTGGGGTAAAGAGCGCCATGGATGGTTAATAGTTTCCTGGTCTTACGATCCAATTCAGCAAGCTCACTCTTTGTCCAATTTACAATCCCCCCACTGTACCGAAGTAGAGATACAGCCCAGCTGTTGATAGCCTTTATGACATTACCAGCATTTAGCTTTGAGGACAAAGTTTTCTTCACTCTCCTTATGTACTCCTTCTTCATACTTCTCTTCACTTCGTCATGCATAATGTCATCGGCTTCCAACACCCCCACATATTTATAACCTTCAACATCATCTCCAATACCTCGGATAATTCTTCCATCAGGCAATCTTATGCCCTCTGACTTATCCAGCTTTCCTCTTTTCATTACCATCGTTGCGCACTTCTCGATTCCAAAATCCATACCAATGTCACTGCTGAACACCCGGACAGTATGTACAAGTGAGTTAATTTCCTTCTCATTGCTTCCATATAATTTCAGGTCGTCCATAAATAATAAATGGGTTATCTTGCCCTCTTCCTTACTGAGTTGGTAGCCTGCTCCTGATTCGTTATAAAGTACACTGCTGAGAGGTAGCATTGCAATCACAAATAACAAAGGGGATAAGGAATCCCCCTGGAATATTCCTCTCCTGATGGACACTTCATCAAGGTCCTTACCACCTGCTGTTAGTTGTGTTTTCCAGGACTCCATGCTTTCCCTCATTAGCCGCTTGATATTATCTGCAGCCCCTACAAGATCCAGTGATTCTAATATCCAGGAATGGGGAACAGAATCATACGCCTTCTTATAATCGATCCAAGCTATTGCTAAGTTGGTTTTCCTCTGCTTGCAGTCACGAAGTATTGCCCTATCTATAACCAGTTGGTCCTTTGTATAATTGTTATTATTATTAATTATTAATTATTATTATTATTAATTTATTATTATTATTATTATTATTATTATTATTATGAGAACAGAAGAGCCAACAGTTTACAATGTACTAAAACAGTCATCAGTTACCAAAACCTGCTATGTCTTTTGAGCCAAAGATCTCATGGCTATTCACTGTTATTGGCATGTTTTTGTAGGTTTGCTCTCCTGAGACCAGTGTTCCAGCGTTACACGTTACTCTTCTTGGCGGTGAGTGGAGTTCGTCCGCTGGTGGGTTGTCAACCATAAACAGAGAACTTGCTATTCACCTTTCAAATCATTCAGTAGTGAAGGTTTCTTTGTTAGTCCCCGAGGGAGCTTGCAATCATGAAGAAAAAAATGAAGCCCTTACCCATGGAATCACTGTCGTTGAGGCGAAGAGACGTGCAGCATTTGATCGTCTTCTTTGGTTAAGCTCACCACCCAAGGATCATGTCATGGACATCGTTGTTGGCCATGGTGTAAAACTTGGTCGGCAGGTACAATTCATTATAGACTCTGCTAAATTTCCAAACTGTAAATGGGTACAAGTGGTGCACACTGCTCCAGAGGACCTTAGCAGATACAAATGCTACAGTGACCCCATTTCAAAAGGTGAAACAAAACACGAATCAGAAGTTGAACTTTGCAAACTTGCTGATCTTGTTGTGCCTGTGGGACCTAAACTGAAAGAAGCATACACTTCATATTTGCAGCGATGCAAGACAGATCATGACGTTTTGTCGATTACTCCAGGCCTTTTTCAAAGGGAGTTTGGGGATTTAGTGGCAAAACAAGATCCTAACAAGGATGGTGAATTCAAAGTGTTGTTATTTGGTCGTGGGGATGATGAGGACTTTGAACTCAAAGGATACAACATTGCTGCTAAGGCATTTACTGATCAACGGTTAAAAAACAAACCTTATCATCTAATTTTTGTTGGAGCACCTGAAGGAAAGCAAGAAGAAGTTAGAGAAAAACTTCTACAGCGTGGTATTGCAGAAGCACAGTTGACTGTTAGAAAATTTATACAAAGTAGAGAGAGACTAAAAGATTTGCTGTGCGAAGCTGATCTTGCCATCATGCCATCAAAATCAGAGGGATTTGGTCTTGTTGCCCTTGAGGCCTTGTCTGCGGGGTTACCCATTCTTGTAGGCAGTAGGTCAGGATTTGCCAAAGCATTAGAGAATGTTCCGATTGGTTTTTCATGCATCGTGAATTCAGATGACCCTGCAGAATGGGCAAAAGCAATAGAAGTTGTTCGTATAAGGCATCGAATGAGGCTTCAAGAGATAAAATCAGTGAGAGTATCTTATGGGGAGATGTACAGTTGGAAGGAGCAATGTGAAGCCCTTGTGAACAGAATGTGGAAAATGAGTCATGGTAAGAGTTATTTGTTAAGTGATGATGTATTTAATTGATTATGTTGTACCAGACAGTACACTAATGTAGTTTTCGTGGCACAATGTATGCAAATATAAGGGTGCAGCGATGGTCTTTCACAAACACTGAATACACGTAGTTCTTTGGCCACATTTTCAAGTACTATAAATTCTCTTTGCAAATTTAGTACATGTACGAGTTGTTCCAGAATATTTGACCACTAAATTGATTGCTAGATAAATATGGCCAAGACAATAATATACTTGTTTACATTCCTAATAAGTTACTTTCCTAAGAAGTCACCTTCAATTCTTTTACGTGTAAAGCCATACCTGAATTTTAGTATAGGTAATAGCATGATTTGTAGTGATATTTGGCATAAATACCACGAGTGATATTTCAAAATTGTTATACAAAATTTCACGAGCCGTTAGGCGAGTGAAATTTGAGACAATTTTGAAATATCACAAGTGGTATTTATGCCAAATATCACGCACAAATCATGCTATTATTTGTTTATACTACTACCCACAAAGGGTTTGTAATTTTCACATGTAGGTATTTCAAATTAAGCTGAAAAACCACTGCTCTAAGCCAATCAAATTGCAGAAATTTTTCATGTAGTAGTATAAGTGTTGTTATTTTTAAACTGCTACTGAAGGACAACATACAAAGACAGTCAGTTTTGTGTTGGGCTGTGACAAACATGCAAAAATAATATGGGCTACTTGAAATTTTGAAATTTTACCACTACGCCTGCATTTGTAGAGTCTTGCAGCTGAAGCAAGCTCGGCTAAAAAGTGAAAAGAAACAAAAATGGGATCGCTTACAAGTTTTACCTGTAAGTCCTGATAAAAATGTTCGCGAATACCTATCTGAACGTTATGCTCTGATAACAGCAAAACGTGTCTATTTCTTCAGGTACATTGTTTTGAGCGGAATGGTCTGTGGAGGCTATTTTGAGACTGTCGTAGACAGTCATAGTCCTTATTTACAGCACTTCACATATTTGATTGTAGTTATATACACATAATGCCCGCAATAGCATGTTAATTTCTCCATTTTGTTGCAACAGAAGATTCTCTAAAGGCCCGGAGCTTCTTAGGATCAAAGTGCAACGCTTCTAAGAGGATGGAAAGCATGACTGAGGACCATGAAGGTATCTTCGTAGACAGAATACGTAGAACTGATCAGTTCTGTCTATTCTTAACCAACTGGGAGAAGGGCTGGATGCGCGCGAGAGGGAGCAAAAAATAGGGACGGGGAGGGAAATAAAACGCCGGATACCGAGCTTCTGTCCCAGGAATACACAACCTGATATATGCCCAACAAATGTCCCCCCCCGGGGAGGAATGGGCACACCTGGAATTGACTATGCCTAATTATTATTGTAACCAAAGCTTGTTTTTGTAAAGTCTTCTATAGAAATTGACAATAACCAAAGAACAAACTGTTATCACGACAAGCAGCTTGTTTCAGAAACGTCCCTTAGTAGTGACTGTGAAATGAAAGCTGATGCTGCATCAGGAAATCCAGCTAAAATATCCACGAATACAGACTGTCAGTCTCAAAATAGCCCGTAAGCGTAAAATGTCAGAATTCTCTTGTAGTCCAGGGATGCAAAAACATGAGTTGTTTTTCTTGCTATTGCTCACTATATGTAAAGGGGGGAAATAACTGTTAGATAACTCAAAGGTGCTTTTTCCTACAGGACTTGTTACCGTTTACACTCGTACTGTAGAAGTGTTAGCCTGCGAAAACATCCGTTTCTCCTCCCTCTTCGCCGCCGGGGACGTTTCGCGAGGAGGAACGTCTGCGACTCAGCGGCAGAAATTCCATACTGATGACGCAAACCAATGTTTACATAATAAATCCAGTAGTCATGGGGTTCCAAATACAAATTTGTCCAATTTTACGTGTCTTCTGGTCGATTTTGGTAAAGTGTTGCTTGTGTTCATCTGCCAACGAGCTCCAGCAACACCCAAATTCTTCTTCTAGAGAAGACTATATTCCACAAATATTGACTGTTTTGTTAGGGATTCTTCGCGTTTACATTTGACCTTTGTGGCCTTTTGTCTTTTGTCTGTCATTCGTAAACAATAGCTAAAACAATGTAACTACTCCGTCGACCAATCAGCACATCTGACCGGATTCCGGACAGATTTTACGTCATCAGTATGGAATTTCTGTCGCTGAGTCGCAGACGTTCCTCCGCGCGAAACGTCCCCATCGACGAAGAGCGAGGAGAAACGGATGTTTTCGCAGGCTATAGAAGTGTATTATTGATAATAGTAAAAGTTATATAGCCCTGATATCAATAGTTGCTGGATAGTCGCCATTTTCATCAGCGGTTATAAAAAAAAGATTTTGAATAAATAAAAAATACCGGTAATTATATAAATATATAAAAAATTAAAAGATATCGACACTAAAATTATAAAATTTAGTTTGGTTACTTAAACTGTGCAAACTGCATAAAACATAGTAAAAAGGATAAAATTACTTTTTTAATACATCTTATTGAATACATTGTAAGGGCTGTCTGGAATGAAAATGCCTTGAGTGCCTTCTTACAAATGACAGTTGGGAGGCTTCTCCATATCGCAAAAGGAAACAAATTCCAAACAAGTTTGAGAATGGCATCAGTAAAATGGCGATCTCCTAACGTGGTTTAACTCCTAAATTCTTCACTATGCTATTAAAAATATCTTAGTGACAAACATTTTCAAAATTAAGTGCGAATAGGTTTTCCAATTTTGCAAGTTGGATCTTTCATCGAATTGCTATAAACGTTAACATTCTGTGATTGGCATTCAAGTATGCAGCTAATATTGTGAATTTGTGATAACGCCCTAACCAAGTTGCCTTGTGGGGGCTTGGTTGAGGTTTTTAAAGCTCTTTGGCTATGGTTAAGGCATCTGAGTAAACATTCAGTAATAACAGAAACTCATAAGGGGTTGAAACGTGTAACTCTCATATGTTTGCTTTGTCCGATGCTCTTGACTATTCATTTTCGAAAGTACCATATTTGGAACGAGAAGAAGAGATAACTGACCAATCAAACTTCGTAAACAACGTGACGTAATTTTCCTTCAGGTTCCCCCGCCCGCTTCAAAAATTGGCCGACAAACGGGGGAAAAACTCCCGACAGCTGAGAAAGCTTTCAAAGGCTGAAACCAGGAATATTACCGAAACACTGAGCAGGATATTATTGCCTTACCACCCGGGCCAAACGTAACATTATGAAACCCATTGACGGCCTCGCAACTTCTTGAAGTTGTCACTTAAAAAAACGATGCCTCGTTGACCCTCCGCACAGTAAACTTATACTGCAAACAGGCTTTTAAAATTCTTATGTTAAAAGTCTAGAATAAACAGTGAAAAATATTTTCGAATAAAATTCATTAGCTGCGTATCGACAGTGTCCAAAACCTGAACCTGACATCTTCGCAAAAAGTGATGCTTGTAATGAATGTGAGAAGCATTTTAAAAGCTTAAATTAAACTTAGATGTTGTAGTCACGATCGTGTTTTGAGCTAATTTTATGAATGAACAAACTCAAAACAATAGACAGAGAAGCCGTTTCTTGAAAATTTTTATTCAAAGTCCAAAAAGTTAATCCTTTAAAGCAATTCGGAAAACACTATCTGGATCGTGGATCCGTTCACGCAAGTGACATCGGCTAAGCACATGGCAAAATTCAACACAAAATCCATCTCAAATCAGGGCACATTTTGTAATTTTTCTTTAGCGCCAAAGAGAAAAATTTATAAAACGTCTATGAAACATTTAAAAATACATAAATTCCCTTTCAAAAACGTAATTGTCTTGGCCATAGAGTGCAAAATGTACCTGAAAATTCAGCAAAAACTTCGCTGACTTGGTTGCATTTCAAAACAGACCATGGGCTCCGTCGTGAAGAAAACAAGGTTGAATTCCTCGAAGGACGATTTCTTGATGAAAGGCTTCCCTTTCTCCACAAAAAGAAAGCTGATGAGCATTCTTTTGAACTTTCTCTTTCCATTTTTTGTCTTTTAACGGTGTATTTTTAACCTCGAAATGCAGAACTCTTGTCTTAAAACATCTGCATGGTGATCGCGCAGCAGCCATTTTGTTGAAAATGGATATCCGTCACCAAATATGGTCAAAATGAATATTCACAAGCATTGAACGCGAGTTACACGTTTCAACCCCGTATGGGTTTCTGGTAATAATGAGTACCTTGAAAGCCGTCTCTTAAATACGGGTACTTCAAGTAAGGATAGCGGGATCTTTTTTAAGAAGCATATGCTCTCCAAGATAGCTAGTCATGAAGGTGCATCTTCCCTGAGGAAGGAACCTCTTAACAGCTGGAGTATGCAAAGCATTCCAGGATCCACTTCCAGCACAGGTAACTGGAACAAGCTAATTACTATTTTGTTATCAGTATTACTGCAGTAGTAATGAAGGTTCAGGAATAGTTTTTAAGGTTCAGCCGGTCTAGGAGTAAAACATTCCAAGTTTTAAAAAATAAAGAGAATGAAAAATAAAATCCTATTTACAATTAATTGGCTTAATTCACTATCTCGTCAAAACACTATTTACAATTCGTTCCGTTAAAAAACCCTTAGTTTTGATTAGAAAAGAATTCATTTCATTAAACAAAAATTATTCAAACTAAGAACATTTCATTCCAATTAAAACAATTCATTTTGATTAAAAAACAGAAGAAACTATTTTCAAGGTCAATTGCATTCTTTCTAAGATAATCACTAAAAAAGGGGAAAATTAAATAGCGTCCACAATGTGTTAATGACGAATATTTGCCTTTTAAAAGTAAGGAAACACATCACTAGTCCGATTGAATGGCTCCTTCAACTACTTTGACGTCAATATCAATATCAAGATTCTTAATGTCAAATGGCACTCTTGTTGTCCTAGAGCCTGTAAGACAAACCAACGCAGATCTCAAGAGTGCGAATGAGGTTCTGGTTTTGATCCATGAAATGGTTTTGGCATACTGCTCCCCTTTTTTGATGGCAATCAGCTGTGCTAAACAGCTATGATACGTCAAGCACTCCTTTCCCATTCCGCCAGTTGTGGTGAAGACCAAAGGTGTAAATGTTCCATGCTCGATGTCCAGGACTCTCTTTGAGTAGAGACGCTTTTTCTCGTTCTCATGGATACGATGAATTTGTTTTGGCTCTAGGTCCCTACACGATACAGCATTAGGGTGACAGACCCTCACATCGAAGAATGCTGATCGATGTCGCTCCCAGAAACCACGCGCGCGGATATCTAACCCTCTATCCTGAGCTTTGTTAGATCCTCTGTTTAAATGTTCGCCTGAGATGTCTTGAAGTTGTCTCCAATTTTAGCATTAACCACGTCGTCATTGACAAGGTATCCAAAATACGAAGTGGTGTAGGAGCTGCTCGTGAGGTCTCTCCTAATTGGTCGCTGGAAACAATGACATGTTATTCTTCAGTCAGTTGTTTTAGTATTGTTTCGGGTCAAGGTTAGGCACCATTGGTGACTTCCCTTCCAAGCAGCCGGTCGAGGCCAACGCCCTATGTCCACTCTTGAAATCCAGTACCTGCGAAAGAAGGAATTTTGGACATGTCGGGAGAAAATGCGTGTAGGGATGATAGAACTTTGCCTCTGGTTCAAAAAGTACGGGATTCGGTGGGTTTTCGGACCGCAAACCGCCTTCGAGTGAACAAGGTCCCGACTGCCGGCTGTTTTTTTTGTACAGCCTTAACTTCTTCTTTACCCTGCTAGCAGAGTCGCTTCGATCTTTCCTAGATAAGTCGGGAAAGAGGAAGCGACTCTGCCGACATCTTCAAGTTCCTTTGATCTGCCGGTCATCCAGCTTTTTGGATGAGTCAGACAAGTTTTATACTGGATAAACCAGTTTTATCTGTGCACGCACGCATATTCTGGAATTTTGCTGACTCTTTCTGCGCGCACGCTCCATAGAAAAACAAATAGCTGCCGCTTCAATTTCATGCGGGAATTTTGAGAAAATTATTGATTGAACGTTCAGTTTTAGAAAATTGGAAAATGTACCCAGATTCGAGATGGATTTTGTTTTGGATTTAACCATGTACTTAGCCGATTTTATTGCGTGAACGGATTCACAATCCAGTAAGTGTTACGCGAAGTTTTTGGAAGGATAAACAAATGGGTTTTGAATAAAAATAATAATTTTTAAGAAACAATATCTATGCTTATTCTTCTTATTAATTCAAAATATGATCATGAGGCTACAGAATCCATGTTGCATTTAAATGATCGATGATTTTACAGCTGTTTGTGGATAACACCCGACTTGCGATGCCAAAAACGTCTTTGGATTTTGTATTTTTCTACGACGTCAATCAAAATCTGAAGAAGCGGCGGTTTCTTCGCTTTCTCGCCTTTTATACATCTTAGCGAACCTCTTAGGAAACAAAAGGTCGTTGTTCGTGATTTGTGATTGGTGGATTTCGATCCGTTTTCTGTGTTTCTGTGTTTCAAGGTTAGATGCTTTGTTTTCGAAAAGCACCGTAAGTTTTACCGTAGCTCTAAGATTTTTTTATCTTCTTTACACTGAAACATGGCAAGTTTAGATTCCAAAGGTGAAATTGTTCCTATAGAGCTTCCAAATCCAGAGGAAACACAGCTACGGAAGGGTGAAAACGAACCGGTACGTTCCCGCTAACATTTACATTTGCTAACAAACACATTGGATGCTACGGTAACTGTTTGATTGACGTCGCAGAAACATTTGAATTTGGAGCATGCTCAATATGAATTGTTGAGGATGTCGGCAGAGGTTCCTTCCTCTTCCCAACTTATCTAGGAAGATTGAAGGAGCAGGGAACTTCTTCTTATAAAGGGGGTGACATAAGGTCACACAATAACAGTAACGACTAAAAAAAACGACTAAATCAATCGATGATTCACACCAAAATACACAGGAACACATCAAAAACATTTTGGGATAAAGTACGTTTGCAGAATTTTACCCGTGTATTCGTATGTGTATACAGGTGATGTAATCCTGATGTAATGCTTTATCGACGTCTGATTGGCTTATACATGAAATGGCCCCAAATCGGCCCGCAACCAGTACAAAACACAAAAAGATAAATAAATGACTAAATTTACGCAATGGTTATTGAAAAAGGATGATAGTAACGTTTTTGGTTAATTTTGCCCTGAATATCGCATATTTTTCTCCCATACAAATACCAATAAAATGGCTTCCACTGCTCGATCTCAAATTATGCTTTGAAGGGTGAATCGCTCAAACACAATTCAAATGAAACTTCCGACTGAGCATTTCATTTGAGACACACGTATGAGATTTGCTTGATGTATTGATGGCTTTGCACTCAACACTACTACGCTGCACCAGTCTGAAGTTGCGTTCGTGGGGAGCGCAATTTTCCGGAATCGTGGCGTGTGCTAGAAAGCGTCCACTTTCTTCCCTCCTTTCCCCTTCCACCCCTCGATCTTTTTCGCTTTTGCTCCAGCTTTCTCGTCGAACTCGCCTGCAAACGCTTCTATGCTACGCAGGTTAAGTAGGATGTGAAGAATTATGCAGATCGAGGAGGATGTTAATTATGTACCGAGACTGAAGGCTCAGGTGTACAACATTCTCCGAGATCTGCATAATCCTTCACATCATCTTCTAGATTCCTAACCCTATTGCTGAATTTTTTTGGTGTCCAATAGGCGGTGACTGAAGTTGGCTAAATTTAATGACAACGCTCCTTTTTAAAGGGACAGCTTAAAAATTGCTCGCTGAAGACTAAATCGTTAATAATCTTGAATGTCTTGATTGCTTATTTTTCTCGATGAAGGTTTATCGCCGTCTCAGGCAAGGGAGTCTCTCCAAAGTTCGAGTATGCCAAGTATTCACACTCCTGACCCAGGTATATTAGATTGTTAGTAGAAATGTATATATGTAGCTTCTTATTAAGCAGATAAGGTTCTGGTATGGTGTTTAAAAGCTTATTGTCACTTACTTTTCTGGGCGTTTTTATTCTCAGTTTGTAAGACTGCATTTGTCTTATTATGTCACCAACTTAACAAAGTTATCTAGTGAGAAAAATAACGGAGTGCAAGAAAAGTGGAAAGTTATTAATATGTTTTCTACAGAAACAAGGTGAAATTATTTGCTTTTCTGTTATTCGAACTCTACCTTGTGGCAGCTTATTTATTGGCGACTCGTTTTTCTAAGTTAGTGGCGTAAAGACGACTTTTAAAAGCATTTTTTTTATTTAAAGCCCTAAATTCTTTATATGTGTTAAACTGTAAAAATTTAGTAGAAAATGTCTGACAGTCCTTTTCATGATTTCAGGCGCCGTTATTGATGTTCTGAGTCTTGTAATCACAACCCCAGATCTAAGCGATGAGAAGCAAGCAAGCTTGAAAGCCATTTTGGAAGTTTCCATAGCTGAATACACAAAACACCATAGGCCTTCAACACGTAGTGACTTGTGTGCCTTTATTGACCATATGACACAGATTTACGAGCTGGCCTTGGTCTCTGTCAAAATTAGTTCTTTGATAATAACAGTGAAGTGTCCCACTCTAGAGAGTCTTGAGAGGCTGTGGAAAGACTATCAATCTGGTTGTCTTAATGGCATCGCTGAGAGATTTCTGGTGACTGATGAACTGAAGAGAAAGCTCGGGTTGGACAATATCAGATTGAAGACAACTATAGAAGAAGAAAAATACTTGATCTGTAAGAGAGGGTTCTTGGAAAACGCAGGTGAGTTGGGCAGTCTCGAAAGACCTTTTGTTGGGATCTGGTCGTTTGGCGTAATATGTACCTTGGAACAATTTGCCTTTATATATCTCTGTGTCAACTATTCTAAGGAAAACGTAATGGATAGTCGGAAGGTATAATTGTCTGTCAAAACTTTTTACTCATGACCCGTATGTTTGATAGAGAACTGAGTGCAATAGTCCAGCTAAATGTTACCACCTTGGCTGGAATGCCACGTACCACCTTACTAGTAAATAAAGGGGGCATTCGGAGACTAATGGAGGTCAACAACAATAGGCATTAAAGAATGCACTTCCTCAGTTGGAAGGATTAGGATTGCTGTGGAGGATGTTTCTTCTTCGTCACTCATGTTCTGGTTCTTGAGCTGCGCAGCTTATGTGGTTTAACATCGAAACAGCCTTTCTTCCCATATCTACAGCTCTTTCCTTGTATTTGTTTTACTGAGGAGAAAGTACAAATTTGAATGCAAAGTGTTCCGTATTATTTTTATTTTCCATTCAGGTAAAGAGTGCAAAATAGCAGAGGAAGTTAAATTCGCGCGTATTGCTCATGTTTACCAATTTTACGTAAAAATAGGGGGGGTTGTTAGAAAAATAAAGTTTGTAGTGATTTGTTTCGCATTTTGTTGAATAGATGTTTACGAAATTTTAAAGCGGAAACCTAAGGTAAAACACAAGGAAACGCTAGAAAAAGCCGTATTGTTGAAATAAACAAAATCTTCCAACAAGTGCCATTTGTTTAAGGCGGACATCGTGTATTAAATAAACACCAAAGCATTTCCCGAGGGTGCCCGCTTAAACACGTTTTACAGGCCGTTATAACTTGTATTTTGTTGTTGGTGACACTGTTTCTAGGAGTAGCAAGTATCACCGAAACTTCAGGTCTTGATTCAGGTCAGGTAGAGGATACAAGGTGGAGTGAAGTAAGCTCAGATGTTGTAAAAGTAAATTTATTTCTTTCATCAGTTGCTGATTACTTTGTTTAGTCCAGTTCCCACTGGGATCATTAATCCCTTTATAAACCACTCCTTGTGAATTCCTCACCACTTGACGCGACCAGTTTACTCATGGCCGCTTTTTTCGTTTTCTTACGTATGAGGTTTATAGCTATACCTACGTTTAATTTGTATTTGTACTTTTTCATCGCTTTTTTAAAATAATCTGACTCCATTTACTTTGTTATTTGTTATTTTTTTTGCTCAGCATATCTTGTTAGCGCTTATCATGTATCTTAAATCTGGCCTTTCTTAGTGCTTTGTATCTTGTTTTTTGCGTACATCCCTTATATTTTGGTGCTTTTGCTGTAAACTCTTATTGGTATAATAAACTGGATTGCTGGTGGCTCCCTCCATTCATCATTGTGCTGTTTTGTCTCTTAATACTTATAACAGAAATATTTTCTATTCGGCTGAGCGTATCGATAGGGAAGAGAAGTATATTTTCTTTGGGGATTGGTGAAACGGGCGATATAATCAAGCAGTAATGTAACAAGGCAGCCAATGCAGATCAAAAAATTTTTACCAGGGAGTTATATATAGGGTTTGGGCCTTGTGTTTCATAATAGTAACCTGAAGAACCGCTATGTTAGATACCACTTACAACATAATGCTGAGTAGGGAGATTTGCTAGTTAGCTCTAAATTGGGTGAAAGTTTTATACCAAATAGATACCAGTAGTGGGACAATAAGTTAATTTTCATTTATTTATTTATCTATTTATCCATTTATTTATTTATTATTATCCTAGGACAAGGAACAGGCCGTGACGCCTATGGCCAGAGCTGGGAAGGCTAAAGTATGTTCAGTGGAAAGATCATGGAGATACATATTGCAGTGTGCGCTCGTTATGTTTTTCCAACAAAGCGAAACAAATATGAAAAACGTCACGTGGTGGCGTGATTAAAGTGCCATGTTGATAACGACTTGCACATATCCTACGTGAAGATAGCCCCATCTAATGATTCTTAAACTTTGGGATCTCATGGGCTGCATTCAATGGTTATATTTATTGGTTCGTGAAACAGGAAAAGACGGGTTGCAAGTTTCTTATGCTCTAGTTTAAAAAAAAAAAAAGCACTTTATTTGAGTGTCAATGTGTTTAGCACGAAAGTACTAATTGGGGACACTATATTTTACGTCTCCAACTGGAGACGGGACCTCCATTTTACGTGGTCATCCGAGCCACGCGAAGGTCTAGCCTGTTGCAAAGGGAGTACCTTCATTTCTCGGTTATTTTAAGACCCTGAGTATTGGTCCGGCCCCAGGAATCAAACCCGCGACCTCCCGCTCTGCAGTCAACACGCTCTACCGACTGAGCTAACACTGCCGCGGTTAACTTGAGAAAGCCCGAAGGGACTAATCGTAGTCAATATTTTGAGGACTATTTGAACGTTTTTAAATGGCACAATCCGACTATATTATCGAAAAGTTGTCGGCATATCCTTAACGCTTCCAAAGCCGGACAATGTCATGGGATAATCAGCCATGCAATTATTCTTGTTGTATGCTGTGCAGTGAATATGCCACTTTGTCCTGGTTTTGTTTCATTGAACTTTCAAAGGCTAGGGCGCATACTCAATGGTAACTTCAAGTCACGTTCTACCAGCCAAACGCATCTTGTTTTTATTACATCCTCAGATCGTCCCGTTGCCGCGTCCCGATCGGAGACCTTCTGATTCCGGCTCAGAATCAACAATAGATAGCGAGGAAAAAAGCGCGGTAAGTTAAGAACGTTTGGGAAGGTTACTCTTTAGTAAACTATGTAACTGTTACCATGTGTCTGTTACAAAGAGTGTTCTACTAGATTCTCTAGTGCAACTTTGAACTCTCGTGGAGTTCAAAGTGGAAATAATATTATATCCTAAGTATGTCTAATGCCGTCACTGGAAACCTCTGTTCGGTAATATTTGGTCACAATGTTTTACCTCTTGCATAAAAAATAATTAAGGTGTTTTTGATAATGAAATTATTTAAGGCCGCGGGGACACCGATCTATGAAGAAATTCATAGGGAAAAATTTGGTCTCTGCTGCATCTTTTAAAACGCTTATATCTCAGCTGTTTTCGAAGCGATTTAGATAAAACTTTACAGGGACATTGTGGAATGATAGTAGTTTAGGGTGGTTGTTTTTTAAGCCACAGTTGCAGCAAATTGGGAAATCGTGATTTTGTGTTCAAGTTTGCGGAAAAAATAAAAGACAGCACTTTGTGATGTTATTAGTAAATGATCATTCAAACCCTCTAGTGTCATGTATAGAGCAGATTTTTGCAATTTAAAGATTGCTAGCAAGATATAATCGCTTAAATGAGCAAAATCTGTCATCCTTGAAATTAACGCCTTATATCTTTTTTTGAAAGCGCTCTTTTAGAATTCTGCTCTATACATTTTTTATTATTATTGAATGAATGATTAGGAACTACTTTTATTGTATACATACTGAGAAATACTCACCAAAAAGCTTTCACGTAAATTTTCGTACGCAAATTAGTTCTAGCCAATCAGAGGAGCGAACGATGGTTTTCACACGTGAAAAAAAATGATACGTCCAATCAGAATCGCGAACGATGTTGTTTCATGTGTGAGAAAAATGATACGTCCAATCAGAAGCCACAGAGGTGTGCGACTTTCGCGCCAAAATTCCCGCCTTTTATTGCAGCATGCAGCGCCGCTTCGCACACATTCAACGAGAAAAGGTTTACTCAAAGAGTTTTTCTCGCTAAAAAAGTGAAAAACATTTCGGAAATGGAGTGGAATAGTTTCGTTTGTTTCACTGTCGATAAAGAAAACGGTAGAGAGCCGGCGAAACAACAGCGGAAAGGGATAAACAGAACGAGACGTAAGCTTTTTGTCCGCGATCTATTAATAAATTCATGAGGCAAAATTTTGCCTGTGCAACATCTTTTAAAACGCTTATATCTCGGCTGTTTTTAGCACCGATTTAGATACAAATTTACACAGAAATTGTGGAATGATAGTTGTTTTTTATTTGGTAGATCGCGCCTTACGGCAATACTTTAAGCTACAGTTGCACCAAATTGGGATATCCTGCTTTTGTGTGCAAGTTTGCGGAAAGAATAGAAGATAGCACTCTGAGATTTTATTAACAAATGATCAGTCAAACTCTCTAGTGTGTCGTGTATAGAGCTGATTTTACAATTTAAAGATTGCTAGCAAGGTATAATCGTTTAAATGAGCAAAATTTGTCATCGCTGAAATTAACGCCTTATATCTCTTTATAAAGCGCTCTTTTAGAATTCCGCTCTGTACATTTTTTTAAATTATTGTTGAATGATTGATCACGAACTACTTACACAACATGTACATTACCACATCTGTATCAATAAAGAACCACTGCAGATATAAAGACACTACCTACATATAATACTAATGCAATACAACACAATTTAAGTACTACTACTACTATTAAAAAAACAAGAGCAAGATGTATTTTAATTCTCAGTACCACGACAGTATAACTGAAACTTTTCCCATTTACATTCCTAGTCGGCTAAGTATTTGTTATTTGATTTCATAAGTTTCTTTTCTAACTGGTGAAGATAACTGACTTTATTTTACCCGACAATTCCATACGCATTTGTGGTGATTACAAAACAACAGTTAATAAAGTTTCAAAGCTTGATAATTGTGGAGGACTTGCTGGCAACTCTTGGTGGTGGCGAGAAGTTTACGAAATTAGATATGAGCCAAGCCTACCAACAGTTACAACTGGATGATGAGTCTAAATGGTACACTACTATCAACACACATAAAGGGCTTTTTCAGTACAATCGCCTTCCATATGGAATTTCGTCTGCCCCAGGTATCTTCCAACGTAACATGGAAAATCTGTTACAAAACATTTCCTATGTGATTGTCTGGGTAGATGACATCTTGGTGTCCGGTGCTAAGGATGGAGATCATTTAAAAAATCTGGAAGAAGTCTTTAAACGTCTTCCAAAGGCTGGATTGCGACTGAAGAAAGGAAAGTGCGTGTTCATGGAACCGCAAGTAACCTACCTGGGTCATCGCGTAAGCAAAGAAGTTATTCAACCGATGGAGGATAGAGTAGAGGCCATTACCAATGCTCCACCTCCAAGGAATTTATCAGAGCTGAAGTCTTATCTGGGAATGATAAACTATTACCAGAAATTCTTGACAAATTTGTCAAGTGTGCTAGCTCCGCTACACAGTTTGCTCAATAGTAAGACTCACTGGCATTGGGGTAAAGACCAGCAGCAAGCCTTTGAACAATCCAAGTCATTCCTCAAGTCTTCAAGACTATTAGTCCACTATGACGACAAAAAGGAACTGATCCTGGCATGCGATGCATCTGAAAATGGTTTAGGTGCGGTCCTCTCACACAAGATGGAGGATGGTTCGGAACATCCTATCTCCTTTGCATCCCGAACCTTGACAAAGGCAGAAACGAATTATTCAAATTTAGAGCGAGAAGCGCTGGCAGTTATATTTTGCGTGAAGAAATTCCATCAATATCTTTATGGCCGACAGTTCATCCCAGAGGCTGACCACAAACCACTTGAGTCTTTGTTTAATGAGAAGAAGGCCACACCTGCCATGGCCGCTGCTCGAATTCAACGTTGGGCATTGACACTAGCTGCATACAATTACACAATCAAGTACAAACCTGGAATTGAACACGGCAATGCTGATGCACTCAGTAGACTGCCCTTGCCAATTAGGCCGCAGACAACGCCTCTGCTAGCTGAAACAGTGCGGACGATGGAACTTCTCGATTCTACACCGGTGGGCGTTAAAGAAATTCAAGAGGGAACCAGAACTGATGTGGTACTTTCTCAAGTAGTAAAGTTTGCACAGCATGGCTGGCCAAGCAGAAACAAAGATGAAGCACTCCAGCCGTACTTCGAAAGAAAACAAGAATTAAGCATTTAAGGTGGGTGTCTGTTTTGGGGAAATCGTGCGGTAGTACCCCCAAAAGCTAGAGAAAGAATGATGGAAGAATTACATGAGACACACCCTGGCATTTGTCGTATGAAGTCTTTGGCTAGAAGTCACGTGTGGTGGCCTCTGATGACAGATGGACTCTGAGTTAGAAATGAAAGTACGAAGCTGCAACGTCTGTCAAGTAAACAGGAAGTTACCTCCGAAAGCCCCCTTACATCCCTGGGAGTGGCCTCATAAGCCATGGGTTCGCCTACATCTAGACTACGCTGGTCTATTTCTTGGGAAAATGTTCCTCATCGTAGTTGATGCGCACTCTAAGTGAATAGAAGCATTCCCTATGAGCACTTCGACTTCTTAAGCTACAATAGAGAAGTTAAGAATCGCCTTTTCAACTCATAGACTTCCAGAAATGGTTGTTACAGACAATGGCAGTAACTTTGTGAGTAAAGAGTTTGAAGCTTTTCTGAAACAGAATGGAATACGTCACATCAAAATCGCGCCCTATCATCCCTCACCAAACGGGCTTGCAGAAAGAGCTCTTCAAACTTTCAAAAAGGGAATGAGGAAGTTGAAAGATGGAAGTTTGGAAACCAGAGTATCGCGTTTCTTAAGCCGATACCGAATCACTCCTCAGACGTCAGCAGGAGTTTCACCCGCTGAATTATTGCTATGCAGGAAACCAAGGTCGAGATTGGATCTCGCTAACCCCGACATGAGTCTTAAAGTGCGTGACAGTCAATGGTTACAAAAGCAGAGGCATGATCTCCACGTGAAGGAGCGTACCATGATGAAAGAAGCCCAAGTCTCTGGCAGGAACTTCAGTCAAGGTCCAAAGTGGGTACCTGGAATCCTACGCGAGTCAAATGGTCCTATTGCATTCGAAGTTGAACTTTAAGATGGACGTATGTGGAGGCGGCATCAAGATCACTTGATACAGAGAGCTAGTGATCCTCCATCACCGACCCAGTCAGAAGTCTCGGAAAGTATTCCTTCAGAGTTAGAGAAGACAAGGACTTCTATTCAGCCTATGGAAGATCATGCAGCGAGTGCAGGAATGAACACTTCTGCTGCGGCAGAACAGTCTGATGTCCAAATGAACGCTGAGAGGCGTTATCCAGTGACGAACCGACGTGCTCCTACATATTTGAGTTACTTTGTTTCTAAGTGACAGTTTCTGTTGAGTTAAGGTTAAGTCAAAGAGATACTTAAGGACTTGATTTGTTTTTCTTGGTTTTAAACCTTAGTGGGGGAGTGAAGAGTACTCATTGTAGTATCAGCTATGTAACCGCTCCTCCAGTAGTTTTACGGAGAGACCATGTGCTTCGCAGTGTGTGCAAAAAGTTGGATAAAATGAAAGGCAGTTAGCTTTGTTTACGAAGTCTGTGTGGAATTCACAGTAGTTAAGCGTGAGAATATTACAGGTGGGAAATATGAAAATTTTTGACAATTCTCAAAAAATTCTGTAGGCTACTCTTAGACTAGGTATGCTGATAATATACAACAATACAATACAATACAATAACTTTATTTAAAGAGAGAAGCGCAATAACCTATTACAGTTTTCTAACCTACGGCCCTCAAAAAAATAGATAAATAGATAAATAAATTTAGAAGACTAAAAACAAATAAATTTATAAATATATATATATATATATATATATACACAAAAGAGACAATATTTCAAGTAGAATAGGCTATAAACACGTAATGAATAATATATAAATCGACGAAGGGGGGGGGGGCAAAATATGTACTATAAATGAACATGTATACATATATACATAAGTATAAATTAAAAGACGTAATAGTGGTTGTAGTAGGACTATGAAAAACAGTGACAATGAATAGAATAGCGGCAAGTCGAGCACAGTAGATCCTCCAAGTGCTCGGCCGATGATAGGCGTGAGAAAGACAGACTTCGTAATTTAGACTTAAGAGAGGAGGGAGGAAATTTAAATATTAGTGGAGAAGAAGAAATAGAAAACTTTTTTAAGTCGGAACTGAGGTCATTAAAAAGTTTAGTGGCAGTATAGGCCAAGGTGCGTCTCCCAGAGTTGCTATTTGGGCATGGCACCTTTAAGTCGTAGAGAGAGGCTCTTGTAAAACGGCCCAGAGGTCCACGCGAATCACAAAGAAATTGAAATCTGTTCCTGAGACATCTAGGAGCATTCGGATTAAGGAGTACGATGAAAAGAAGAAAAAGTTTCCTGTATTTAATAAGATCAAAAACGGGAATCCAGTGAAGTTTTAAAAATAAAGAAATAGAAGCCTGAGAGAGGTCGGCATTAAGGAGTATACGCCCAGCACGCTTCTGAAGACGAAGCAGTCGTAAGAGGAGATGGTGGGAACAGTTACCCCAGGCAGCAGAACAATAAATAAAGTAGTTGTTAACACAAGAATTATAGAATTTTAAAGCAGAATCAAAGTTAAGATAAGGTTTGATGCGACGGTAGAGAGAAAGCCTACTGCTAATGATGCAGCAGATTGTATCGATATGATGCTCCCAAGACATGTCACTGTCTATCATAACGCCCAGCATCTTGGCATAGTCTACTTGCTCAATAGATCTACCATCGATTTGGACATTCAGTGCCGAGCTGGTTAAAGTACGGCGTTTCTGCAGGGTCGTAATAAGTAAAGATTTAGTTTTGGTTGTGTTAAGTGACATTCGATTATTCTCAGCCCACGTAGATACAGTTCTAGCAACTTCGTTCAACTGAGTGCTGAGGGAAGTAACAGAGGGCCCTCGAACAAGAATAGTAGTATCATCCGCAAACATAGTTGAAGTTACGTCTGAATGTAGCTCTAACGGCAAGTCGTTGATATGAATAATAAAGAAAAGTGGCCCCAGGATACTACCCTGCGGCACACCTACAGAGACTGGAAGTGCTTCAGATTAAGATTAATACAGATTAAGCCCAGCCTAAAAGCAGAGCTTCCGTTTATATAATGAGAATAAAAGCAATAAACTTTAAGAGGTAGTCTCCTTAAAAGCGTTCCACTCGATTTCGGACTCGACAAAACTTTTGCCTCATATTTTTGCCATCAATACGACTATCCATCCTAATAACGAAATTGCAGTTGGAATGAGGAAATTGTTTATTTTACTGCCATTCCCAGCATTTCATTGCTGGACGACCGTTATTATACAGGTTTTTTAATGATCGTTTAAAAGTACTTCGGGTCTTCAAATCCTAGACTATTTGCACTCATTTGGAAGCATATTGCTTCTTCTTACTGTTCCAATACCATTTAGGCATTATCTTTCTGTAATCAGCAAAAACTCGTCGTCTTTATTTCACTAATCCAATTAAGAAAGCAAAATGCACGAATAAATGCCTAAAAATCATCAGGAAATTCTCCAATGTGGCACCTAAGTGAGACCTAAAAACATGTTTTAGTTAAAGATTAATCGCTATTTTGTCAAGTTATGCAATAAAACTTGTGGCACAACGCTATTCAGAATTGAAGGTCTCGACTCAAATTTAGTCAAACGTTCAATTTGCGTTGCCTGACAGTACCGGCTGCTGCCACAGCAAAATCCCCAGTTATTCAAAAACTTGCCACTTTTAAGTAAGGTACGCTTCATTTTCCCAGCAAAACTATATTAAAATTCCCTTTTCCTTTACCAATGATATATGTTGTTCAAAAATTAGTTCAGCAAGTAAAAGATATGCCTTTCCACGCTTCATTTAATTTCCCACTGCCCCGAACATTCGTTTTAAATCTGTACGGCGAGTTACTATTTTTCCTCTATTTACCTTCTGCTTATCAGGAGCCCACATTTTCGAACAAATTTGAAGACTTTTTTGATGAAATTTCAATTAGAAGCTTTCTTCCTTTTACTGACTGTTTCTTCCTATCGGGAGTGGTCAGCTTTAGTTTTCACGCTCCCAGGGAGTCCGGAGTCCAAGGCTACAATTGTATCACAGCCAGTTAATAAAGAAGTTGGCACACTTTTCAACATTAATTTCGAATCGTGCAACTTTAGTGAAAGTAAGAAAATAAAGTGTGGAAGTTCAGACAGTTCGCGCGGTTTCTCCCTACTGATAAAAGTACACGAATGTCTGGACACCATTACTTCTCACCATGGAACCTGTCAACCATCGAAGTCTGAACTGAGTGAAGCAGAGCCAATGCTCTCAAGGGACAGTAATCATTGACCTTACGAAAAATCAAGTGGAACGGGTGGTGATTTGCTTCCCCGGGGGGACTCCCATACAAAAGTGACGCGGGTGCTCGTCGTTTGCAGATTTTGGTCTCACTTAGGGTGTTTGGGAAGGAAAGTGACTAAATATGCTCATTCAGGTATCGCTTAGGGCTAGCTTTGCATAAAGAAATTCGCAAAAAGGGCCGTGACACTGACCTCACAGAAATCTCCTTTAAGGGTCAGTTTAAGCTTGAGCCACACCCACATTGGCCTTCCTCACGGGTTTAATTTTAATTTTCCGACGAGCATCCCCTTCACTTTTATACAGGGGTCCTCCAGGGGATCACCTACAACATCGGCACATAAACTCGGACGATTTTGGCGGCCACCTCGTTCTTCACATAGAGGACCAAGAAAGGAATATTAGTAACAAGGACACGCATGTAATTGGTTTGGAGATGGCGAAGATCCTATACCATCTATTTTGAAGGATGGGATCACGTACGTATAAAATCGTAAAATCATTTCTAATATCTTTTTTACTAGTTCCTTTATAAAATTGTGATAAGATAACGACAAAAGGGTCGATGGGCATTGTCGTCATCGTAATTTCAAGTCCAGACAATGGTACACTCAGTAGTCCACTCAATTTTTTTATTTAGAAATATGCGGGAAGTGAAAATCCAAACATACGATGAAGTGGTGGAGAAAAGTAGGATGTCGCTTTAAGTAATATCCTGTTTCCCCAGCATGAACATTTCTCCAGGTCGAGACCCCTACACTGTTTTCACGTCTTTTCTCGCCTCACGTCTTGTTAGCAGGTTATTACCGTGTTCTTACAGAGGCTTGCATTCTACTATGTTAATGATGTAAAAATACATACATCTGAACAACATCTGAAGGATCTAGGATCACATTTTTTAAAAACGGCCTTTGGACCCTCCGTGTGAATCCAAATTCATATTGATTTTACTAAATTTGGCGCCACCGCGTTTATTCGTTTTTGCGACTCCGGAGCGGCGCTCATTTGATACACCAGCCTACCGCGGACAATCTTGTTGAGCCAACCGAGAGGGTCTTATCGCTTTTATGTCTGCATATCGAGATGCTATGACAAAGAATATAAAGATTCAGATACTTATAATGACAAAGAATATAAAGATTCAGATACTTAGTATTTATGCTTAAGAGGGAATCTCTCTAAAACCGGTCCACTGCCTTTCGGGTCGAAAAATCAATTTCCTTTAAACTTTGTCCATGAATATATCTTAGTCCAAAAGTAATTTAAACCGCATTAGTTTTTGAAAATATTTCAAAATAAAATTTTTCGAGAGGAAAATCACTTCAGCACTCGGCGGCCAAATATTTGCAGTGACAAAGAGTAAAAATAGCGCATATTGCCGAGTTCACCACTTCAAAGTTTTGCACTTTCAACGATTTTTTTCACTTCCTAGGACTAAATTGGTCCTTAAATGATGTAATGGACACAATTTTGGCCCTTCAAAAACAACTCGTGTCTACTAAATATTTTTTGATTTACACCCACTTTGCCGTACGCAGGAAATGACTCAAAAATGCATATTTTCATCCTAGCACTGTGCAAAATCCCCACATCTTCTAAACAAAATGTCTTTTCAGACCAACAAAGGGAATGTCCAAAAACAGAGACATAAAAATATGTGGTGATTTTAACGATTTATCAGCACAGCTAATCGACGAAATATGCCTATTTCTGTTATGACTGTTTACAATACACGATGCAAGGTCTTAATGCAAAGCCCGAATAACACAATAATTCATCAAATGTATCAAGTATTTTAAACTTTTTGTGACTTTTGACACAATAGAACATCATGCAGGAAAGGAAAGCCTTTAAACCGAACGCATTAATACTACAGGTGTACCTGTTTACAGCGCTTGATCCGATCGAATCGTCTTCGCTGTGTACACAAAACTGATATCACATGATGGCGCCTGTCACGCATTCCTATATCTGGAATCGTTACGCCGCGAAAACACTTTTTGCTAGTCTGACTAAAACTGACAGGCAGGAAATTATCTTATCAATAGAGTATTCTATTATATTTATTGCTGTTTTCGTTGACAAGCTACAATATCAAGAATCATGCATGCATAAGTGCCCAGTGCATTAACAACAGCAACTTTTTAGTTTTCCAGGAACAGGCTCCTATCCATTCAGGTTAGGATTTATAAAACAATTGGTCGTCGCTATGAGCTTTCACTTTGTTTTGTTTTATGTTGGTCGTTAATGTTTTTATTTATTATTTTTTTTAAATATATTTCATATTTCTGGTAGCCCGTGGTATTAAACCGACGAGTACCTGTTCTCAGGTCTTATCAAGCTCCCTGACTCAGGGTGGGGTTAGGAATAGGGGTGGAGTGTGCTTGCTAGCAGGAGGTCCGCTAGACTGTTCACAGTCCTCTATGTTTCCGTAAATCGTCGGTATCAAGCACATTCTCTAACAGGTGGCCTTCTTGGTTTTAAAATGTACCGGGTTTAGCCTGGGGATGACTATGAAATCTACTCCTGGGGCAGCGGACCCAAGAAGGCCCGCACATCTGGACGATTTTACGGAAAGATAAGGGACAGTGAACAGTCTAGTGGCCCGCAAGCAAACATCCCCCTTGCTATTATCCTAGAACAAATACTGTATCTTTGAAATTAGGTTACCCTGTATTTAAAACTGGCGTGCTGGTTTACCTCATTTAGGGCTTTCGATTTTGACTCTATTCCTTCCGTTTCCGACTAGTAGTTTTAGCCAGGGCTAAAAGCGCCGCTCTGACTCGTTAATATACTAAAAGTTGTACCCCAGAAAAAAAATAAATAATAAAAATCGTGTAATGCTAACCGGTGACGGCAACGAGAAATGCAATACAAAATCAATAGGGCTTAAGAGCGAAAAAAAAAGTTTGCACGTGCAGCACATTTTTTTGTACATTTCTTTGCCATTGTTTTGCACGACTTCAAAGTACGTGAAACGTCCTAGTTGCACGTTTTATGGAGAAAAAATCGTATATGTTCCCACGTTCCATTTTTGTTACACTGCCGCTCATTTTAACCTCGCTGGCCGCTAACATTTGTCATTTTCTCATCGCAGCTTTGAATTTTTTTTATGTTTTTTTCTTCCGCGATGAACTTCGTCTGCTTCTTTTTTTTCTTTTTGTTTTGTTTTGTCAGTTTCGCTCTAGCTCTTTCTCTGTTATCGGTGTCAGTGTAATGGTAGTAGGGGGAAACAGTCGAACGCACGATCACGTGATTACGAAATTTTCTCGCATCTTACAGGTTACAATTTTTTTTTCGCGCGCGCGAGAGCTTCGCTAATACTCATTCTCTATTACGGAAAGTGGTTAATTATTAATAGTGCCATATTTTCAAATTCTTGTCCCGTTATTGCCGAAATGCACATATTAAGCTAGCGATTTTCCTGAAAGGTTGTGAATTCACAGTGAGCCCGCGGAAGAAAAATGAGTAATAATAGGCAGGGTACAAACTCACCGAGGTAGAGTCGTTTTAACTTCTTCTCGCGTCTTTTCCAACGATCTTTTTCACTACACAAGAGCACTCTACAACCATTTTAGTTATCTTTTGAAGAAGATCAGATTTCCAGGTTCTTGTGCCAAATCAAATCCCAAGCAAATTGCTTTTGAAAGAAAAAGAGTGATTTCTGTGAGCCATCTCGCACATACATCAGAGGACGTTTGGCAGCAATTGTTTCCACAGCTTCGCTGCCATTTCTTTCTCCAGGTTCCTCATCGTCCGCTTAGTATGTATAGTCTTTTATTTTTTTTTCAAATGATTTTGTTATAAAAATATTGCGAAAAAAATCGTTAAATTTTTACTTTTGAACCACTCGGCTTTGGTAAACATTCGTTTGCGATCTGCGTTGCCAGCCCTCTGCCCCTCAAGGGGCACCTCTTCAGCTCAAAAATGGTATACAAAAGGTGGGTTGGACGATCAGGCTGGAGTCTCCCAGTATAACACTTTGTAATATACCCCACCCCCTCCGATAGGGCGGAAAGGTAAGTTCGCTAATTAGACATATTGGTGTTGTTGTTGTTGTTTTGTTTTTGCAATTCTCGTTGCCGTTGCAGGTTGGATGTTACTAAAACGGGGAACGGGGAGCGGGGAACGGGGAACGGGGAACGGAAGTCTGGGAACGAGTTGTCAGCGGAAACCTCCACAAAAATCCAAAATGGCGGTCCAAATAACGAGAGAGAGAAAGAAGAAGACAAAGAAAGGAATTCGTGCCTTGGTTGAAATCAGGTGGGGGCGAAATTGTAAATCAGACTCACATTTTACGTTTACGTTTTGAGCAGGTGGTATGTTTTTTCGATATTCAACCTGTTTCATTTACAATATGATAAGGTCTTAGGTCTTAGTTTTCGAGACACCTGGCACACTCACATTACTCCTGGATTACTCTGTTTACTTTAGACCGTCGCTTAATCCTGCCTGTTTATCTCCCTGAATCTTCTTTTTCCCACTCAGACAAACTCTTGGAGAGTAAAGGTTTTATCCAAGCCCATTATATGCCCTGTTTTGAGAATGCTTGGTAAATAACTCGCAGGCATTGTAATGAGAAATAAACGTGGAATTTATTAATGCATGTACATATAGTGTTCTCGCGTTCTGTGCTTGAGTCAAACTTTGTACAGCTATTAGTATTTAAAAATAACGGCTAAAACTTGGTTTTTACAATTTTTTTTTATAACTGGGAAAGCTTGTTGTTGTTGTTAGCGTTATATTAAAGTCATTGAGTGATGAGTTATGAATCGTTTAAGGTCAGGGTTTGGCATTGAAAGCAGGGTTAAGCACTGACTTCAAGAAGGTGGTGGACAAAACACTGACCCCCATTCCATGAACTACCCCCAATGACTACCTTAAAATGGACTATGCTACTGAAGTTAAGTGATTAGGGTTAGGAAACTGAGTGAATCAGGTTCCATTTAGGGTCCTTATACTGGGAAAACTGACCTAAAACTTCATTCACTCAGTTTCCTAACCCTAATCACTAAACTTCAGCGGTGTAGTCCATTTTAGGGTATGTCCATGAAGTGTGGGTCAGTGTTTTGTCCACCACCCTTCAAGAAGTGTTTATTCAGGTTTGTCACTATATTTACTGTACGTACCAGTATTTGTTTAAAGCAGATAGTAGCAGTTAATCCGAGATATTTGAAGTTTTTCACTTGACTCATGACTCATCGACTCAATTATTTAATTGCTTCTATAATTTCAACTCCTTGACCCATAACGTGGCCTAATTTTAAACCGGCATTTTCTTGGCCTTTACTAGAAACTCTAAAGCTCATTTAAGCATGTTTTTTTCTAATATAAACACAACAAATTGTACTGTCAGTCCTCTACCATACCCCCTCCTGAATGCTTAGGCCAATATTACATGGCACAAGGCTAAAGAGAGTGAGAGACATACTAGAAATGCCACACTGACTACTGCCAACATATAGCATGATTTGTACCAATACCTTTTTGTGCCAAGGAAGTGGTACATTCATGGTTGTCTTGTTGTAGTCCTCTAAGGAGAGGGAGGCTGAATAGAGGATTTACAGTAAAAGGTCTAAAGGGAATTTTTGCCAGTTCACTCTCTATGGAGATGAAAGGGTTTGAGGCAATTATTCAGTTTTCCCCTTATAACCTAGTTATGGTCAAAAGATACAAATATCAAAATCAATTTGAAATGTCATTCTGAATATAAAATGGGTGTAAAAGCAAATTCTAATCATTTTTTTAAAGATACTCCTTTGTTGTGAAGGATTTTGGTAGAGATCTCTTGACTACCACAATTTTGCTGGCATAGGGTCTATTATCAACCCGTTATCGCTTGATATAAAGGAATGAACTGGCCCCCTTTTTGCTAAAGAGTAATGTATATGAAGGGAACCGTACAATATCATAGAAGTATTTAGGCAGCCACTTACGAATTTAAACTGTTTCAGACATGTTAGTTTATACCTAACCCATTTGGTTAACTCGAACATAATGATCCTAGTCATACCTACTCGTACCTTAACCCTCCAAGCTTCATTATCCACATACAAATAACATTGTCCACACTTATCTCTTTACATTTCCTTAAAGATTTAGATGACAGAATTTGGTTGAAGATTAAACCATTTTCCCTTTGGTGATTATTTCATTACTCGTCATAAACATTCCTCTGAATAATGTATTGATATTGTTTCGAGAAAATTGATTTTGATCTATCATGGGACTTGAAGAGTTAAATTTTCTTTTACTTTGATCTTTGATATGTTGTTAAAACAACCTCATCTAAGGTAATAACATGGTGTAATCTGGATAAGCAATTAGCATATCCCATTTCTTTAGGCTGATTTTAAAACTTAGCCTTGGACTCTTTCATTCTAAAGTAAACTAAGAAAATGTAATGATTTTATAATGTAAACTACACTCACAAAACGTGTTGAAAAGCACTCTATACAATAGTGAATATGCATCACTAAAAGCAAACACAACTAAATCATAATTATTTTCACGGCACCTTCATTTTTTGGTTTCTCTTTTTTCCTTAATCTGTGCCAGTACATGCCGAATTCTGTATTATTTGGCAAACGTGACACAAACATCTTCTGACCTTTGATAACCTGACATGTTATTGTACCTTACAAGCAGAGGAAAGTGAAAATGGGCCGCAGAGGTGTCATCTAAAGCAGGACGTATACTTGTGCACCAATACAATTGCAATTTTTCCCACTTTAAGTATCTACCCTAAGAGGCCGACAAGATTTTTCTGTAAGAAAGTAAATTTGAAAGACTGGTCACCTGACGTCCTTTTTGGGCGCGACATTACCCCATCTTTGGTCTTTGGCGTCTTTCAGATTGCTTATTTTATGATACTCTTGACACATGATCATAGTTACTAACCCTCAATATGTTTAGGTTAATTTTGTTTAATACTTGAACATTTGTAAACGTCACTTCTACTAGGACGGACCATAACTCAGCAGGATTGAGTGAACCTGTATTGCAATATATCCTTTATCGGTTTTGGCAGTTCAGCTGGAACGACAACATGTGCAAATGAAAAACGTGGAAAGTTTCTTCTAATACAATGGGGGGACATGTGGTAGTAGCGGTTTGATTTCCGTCCAAGTCGCCACTGCATGTTTTGCTTCTCCCAGTACCAGTCAGCCTCAGGTCTAACAAGGATGTAATGGTCATCAGGGGGCGTTGCTGGCAGGAAGTGTTGTTTACAGCCGTAGCATTTTCTTACATTTCCCCAAATCGTTGCCACTTGATATGGGACATTAGGTGAGGGCATGGCTGGCTTGGGTCCCCTCATACCGGTTGCCATGCGGGTATTACCTGTTGCGGGTGTGTGTGGAGATGACATCAGTGATACATTGTTGGGGTTCTGCAAACCTCGGGAGCCATAACTGTGAATTCCACCGTCTCTTCCACCAGTTGAAGGCATGGCTGTTATCCACGCATTAACTTTGACCGGTACGTCTAGAGATGATTGAAGTGGCACGTCCATAGGCATATCTACGTTCTCTAAACCGTGGGAACCAAGTGCAGGAGGTTCACATTCAGGTGAAGTGAATGGTGCAGGATTATCGTTCAGAAGTTCAGCCAAAAATGAGAATGGTCCATCAGTGGGGTTACTTGTCGGCTGAGGGAGTGATGAAACACTCAATCCAGGTCTTGGAACTGGATTTGATGCCAATGACTGCATAGATGAACAAGAGCCACCATGTGAGAAGACACACTCAGAAACAGTACGTGCTGGAAGTTGGATGTTGCCAATTGATAAAGAAGCACTTGGGGGAGGTGGAGGTAGAGATAACATCTGATGTTGTTGTGGTTGTCGTTGTGGCTGCTTAGCACTCACACCAAAGACATTTTCACATGTAATAGTGACATCGCTGTGAGGTGTTGGTCCCTTAAAACGCTTTCGAGGATTGTTTTTCTTCCTTCCCACGTTGGGGTCTTGCTTTCCTGCCATGTTTATGGTGGTAATATTAAGAACCTTGCTCTGTTTATAAAAGTTCAGATATTTGGATAGGAGGCCTTGCTTTTCAGCGACTGCTACGGCATGCGAACAAACTCCAAGCGATTTGAAGCCTGGACAGGAACATTTGACAACACCACTGACACTGCTGCTACACTTCACTGTGTGAAAGTTCTCACTGCTACTCTCACTTATGACTAAGAATGTATCACAGTCTTCGGCTTGCTTGCCCGGAAAGAAAGGAGCACATTGAACTGCACCAGGGGAGGAAACTATCTTGGCCGCCTTCTCCCATATGTTCCTCAATATGACATCATCAAGAGGAATGTCAAGCATTTCCCAAGAAGCAGACAAAGGACCAACAGGCGCCACATGTCCAATAGCTCTGCTCTCCCCCTGCAACACTTCTGCCATGGACATTCGTCGCATCTTCTTCACGTACGTTTCCCTTTGCTTCACCGTCATCTTAAACCACTGATCTACACTTAGGGCAAGGTGCGGATAATTCATTTTGTACTCCCCTCTTCCTGTGATTGCCTTAACAAATTCGTCATCGAAATCAGCCCTTAGCTGCTTCATATCTTCCACAAACTTTGGAAGAGACACCTCTTGGTAGTTCTCTTTGTGCTTGATTACGTGGTTATTGCTCTCTGAGCAGTGCGTGTAGAACTTTTTTTGGGGCACCCTAACCCAGCTGCCGTTCGTACTTTAGGAAGCATCGTTTCTTTAATCATAGTAGTAGTTGTAGCAAACCAGCGGACGAAGGATGGAGACTTTTCCTCCCATTTTGTTCGTACAGATTTCAAAAAGAGTGTCAAACATTTCAGAGGACTCTGCGTCAACCAGTCCTTCATGGTAGGCGCCATCAAGGTGGTAACCAAATATCTGGTTTGTGATTTCAGTCGTGCTGGAGTCTTCCAGGGCTTTAAGATGGTCTTTGACATTATTGCGGAAATGACTCATACATCTAAGTTTCACAGCAGATGGAAATCCCTCTGAGAAGGACTGTTCAAGGGGTTTTTCTCCGTCAGTACCAAATGCCCTCAGTTCTTCCTTCAGACCTGGACAGTTCTTCTGAATACAGTAGACAAAATCTGTATACACTTCTTTTGTCAAATTCTGACTTATCAGAATGGGTCCTATACAAATAGGGTGTTCCCCAGTGCGTTTGGAGACCAACAAAAGGTCTTGATAAGTTACTGGTGTGACACTGTACTTTCCAATGTTGAATGTGGGATCAACTGTCAATATACTCGACACTAATTCTGATGTGCAGTAGCATTTCAAATTTTGAAATTGTGTACTAGACCCCAATACGATAAATAATGGATTTGGATGTGTTTGGATTGTGCGTATGAATGTAGTTTGACCATCGCACCACCTTTCTTCGTTTGCCATAGCTAGTAGACTTCCAAGAACGTCGTTTGTGCTCGATTGACGAGCGCACCCAGCCGTCTGTTGCTTCATATTATAAGCTTGTTTCCGGTTCCTTGGGGTTACTCCGGCACTCTGTGCGTTCATCGTTCCTCCTAACTCTCTTGTGGTTTTTTGAAATGCCTCTTTAGGGAAGTGTTGCTGGAGATTACACTTAAGCTTGTACTTGGTGGATTCATTTGTTCGTTGATACGGGATCTTACTTTTCTGTGAATTTCCATGGCACTTCAACACAAAGGGATGCTCTTCTCCAGTAAAGTTGTACTGTACAAGTGCAAGGTTGCCTAGGATATCCCCAGATGGCGATCGACAAAAAGATATTGTCCTCTTGAAATCGGGGGAAGAAGAACATCTTCTGTACTTTCTTGTCAAATGGAAATAATCTTCCCCCACGACTTTCGTTCTAGAAATTTTGTTGCAACTTTCCAGCAACCCATTTTCGAACTTTAATTGGAACGTGTCAGTCCGAGATCCAAGGTTTTCATATGATCCGTTGTCATCAGCTTCTAAGTCTTCCAAAGCAACTACTCTGAGATCAACGAGAAAAGAGGCATTGATCTGTACACGACAGGGCTGATGTTTGCATAGGACATTTTCCACATGTTCTTTAGCGAGTATTTCAATGACTTTCTCTGCAGAAAATAAAGCCGTGCTTCCTCTGATAAAAATAGGAGCACTTCCACAAAACTCTACCTCATCTGGGTCACTGAAAAAAATATAAATAATTATTATGCACTGCCAAAAAATATATATATATAAAATAGGCAGTTTTTCAAACTTTCATTTGATCTGAAAGTCATTATTAATAATAATAATAATTCAGAGTTTGAAAAGAAAACCTGTATTTGCCTGTATTTATTTTGTGCAGTACAGGGACATGGGCTGTCAGGTACTAATTACGTGAAACGTCACATTAATCAGATTGCTGATTTACTGTTGTGTAGGATGTGTGACAAAAGGGAAGAAAGAGTGTCACCTAGTGAGTGTGAAAAGTTGCCCAGAAGAAATAGAAAAAAACAGGATAATGTGGCAAAGACTGCACACATTTTAAGTCATCTGAGTAATAGCTGGAACGGAAGGAAAAATGATATGAACATGTACCATGGGGTTTTGGAGAATGATCGATGAAGTAAATTAGCTACTTTAGGATATGACCATGCAATGTGATAACGTTGTTAAAGTAAAAAAAACCTTACATTTTAGTGCTGATCAAGACGAACGAATGTATCATTGTAGACATTGCTATACTAGGCAAAAGTAAGATACAGGAACAGGAATTTGAAACAACTGACAAATGTCAAGATTTGAAGAGAGTAAATAGAAAAATGTCGGGTGTGCAGAACGTGGACCTTGTACCAGTTGTTTTAGGGGCTATTACAAGTCTTACTAAGAAACGTGGACAATGGATTGAAACACTGGGGATTAGAGTAACAAGTGGACTGCTTATGAGCACTAGGAACAGGCAGGATTCTAAAAATGGTGATTGATTTCTGAGTACCAGTAGAGTGCCCCACAAGACAACTGGTTGTTATAATTAATTGTGACCCACTCCCTTAGGATGTATGTCTACATGATAAAAGCCTGAGCTCAGAGCTAATTGATAACAATGGTGATGATGATGATGCTGATGTTGTTGAGATGATGATGATGATGATGATGATGATGATGATGATGGTGAGGTGGTAGTGGTGGTAATGGTGATGATGCTGATGATGATGATGATTATATAGAGGTAGGTCGATTCTCAATTTCCTTCGTCTCCCAGTCCTAATTATTCATGAATTAGGGTTAGGAAACAAAGGAAATTGAGAATCAACCTAGGTTAACTCAAAATTAACCTGAAATCAAATTTGACCTGTAACATATATACATTGTACATGTTGTGATTCAACTTGATCATTGGCTTAAATTTATTGCACTGTGTTTTTTGGTATGGCTATGTAAAATAATAAGTGTGAAATATTAAGCTGGGATAGTATCAAACATTTAAAATCGTACACTGTAGTCAACTTTCTAGAGCAAAGAGAGATGTAATCAACTCAAAAAAATGATCAATCGATATTTTAAGTAGAAACAAGATTAGTGTATTAATTACGTTCAGAGTAAACACTCAATCTCAAATCATATATAATCAGTTGATCACTCATCACCTTAACCCTTTAAGCCCCAATATCCATGTGCAAATTCTCCAAACTGATCTCCATACATTTCCTTTAAGAATAAGTTCAGAGAATTTGATAAAAGATCAAAGCATATTTTCTCTTTGGTGATCATTTTATTAGTTTTCATAAATTTATCTATTGACAATGTATGGATATCATTAGGAGAAAATTGTTGTTGGTCACTATTGGGACTTAAAGGCTTAATAGCTGATTCTCCAATTTGTAATCAATGACTAATCAATACCCCACAAAATGTTAAGTAGTTCATCAGTCATAGATATATCATAGGCCTTGTCAAATTGGCCAAAACAAAATATAATACACCCCCCTCCCTCCAGCATTTTGATTAGGAAAGTAAAATACAGGCAATGTTTTGTTTATTATGGTGCAGAGAAACACGTTTGAAATAGAAAACTTCATGTAAAGCAAAATGTATAAAGGGTCATAGATCTTTGTATCTCAGGTGCAAAGAAAGTCTTGACAATGTTAATGCTCACTGGGAACTTGCTTAAAAATTTACCTTGGTTCGAATTTTATTTTCCTTAACCCAGGAAATAGCTACATAAAAGGGGTTCAAAAGAAAAGTAAATAATTAACCACGGGTAAAATTGGAACAATAACGTCAATTTTGTGCCAAGATGGTATGACACAAGGTGTTGTGTCAGCTTCAAGTTTTGAAAAATGAGAGCAAGTGTTTTGACTTTGATTATGATGGTAATGGTAGTGGTGATGATAATCTTATGATGAAAATTACTTTGAAGATGATGAACATAAAGAGAAAGAGAAACAATCCATGATATTATAAAATGAGAGCAGGATAAACTTAAAGTTGGTGATGATGATGTAGATGGAGCTGCCTACTTCAAAAAGTAAAGGACATTAATTTTAAAACTGTACATAAATATTGAAAATGTCCTTCATTGAACTTGGAAATAAGGAATTTTACTGGAGTAATGGCTTATCAATATTGTTAGAGACACTTTCAAGACACATCTTTTTCGGAAAAATGGTCGGCGATGTTTGAGGGAAGAATTTATGGTGGCTTTAGCGGTCAAGAAGTACTTTTGGTGACAAATTTCCTCAGAAGGAAAATGAAGCAGATTTTCAGCGACAACAGACCATGGTCACACGCCACAGTCACACCATCGATGAACATGGTCAAACATGAACATGGTTCGCAATCAAAAACCATGATACCATGGTCAAACTGTTGCCGGGGTAATAGAGAGGGAGGGTTTAATAGATCTAGATGATTTATGATGTTAGAAGAAATGGAGGGTCACTGTAGGCATTGAGGACCAGGAATCAGTTTAATGACCCTCTTACACAAGAGGTACATTAACTTGAATTTTGTAAAAAAAATTACTCTACTTAGCTATAACCTCTGCCAGTATGATCAGGAAAAGATATTTAAACTATCTAGATAAATAAATAACAGACTGCAAATTTATATAAGGATTTCTCTTTTTTAGGCATTGTATAAAAACCTACCTTTCTTTTTGTTGTTCTCCTTTTTCCCTTTTTGTTGGAGTACTTTCCAAGGAGGAACTACTTAAAATTTGAACTACCTCCTCAACATCCTGTTGTCAGAGAGAAATACTTCAATTCAAGATACTGAAGTAAAACCATGTACAACAATGTAATAACTTTTAATGAGTGATGTACATTTACATCTTACCTGTACATCATCATGCCACCTGACTTCAGGTAAATCAGAATCAGAATCTGAGCTATGAAAGAGCAAAAAAAAAGTCTCATTGTAACAAACGGACCTGAATGCCACTGTTTAAAAACGTGAAAAGTTTCCCACTGCATAAGGGAGACATAATTGGCTTTGAAGTGTCGCAAGGATTTGAGGGTTTCTTAACTTTTGCATTTTTCTCGTGATCACAAAAAAGAGATTCGTCAGAAAATAACAATAAAATAATCCAGCTTTGTTCGGAGGAAAGTGCAATACTGGCAATTTTAAACTACAGTAGCTATAGAGTTAAAGTTATCGAATTGGTGATCTTTAGCTTTAATAGATAAAATACTCCCAGCCAGTTAGCAAAGAAGGAGACAAAGACTGGAAATAAGTCGGAATAAAACATGATCCCTACATTTAGTTTCAAAAAGTACGACACATTTTCAGCATTTTCATATCTACATTTTTGCACCTGACAACAATGAAAGACTGATCATGCGGTTATTAATTGTACTGCTGTTATGATTATTTGAGTTATAACCCATTTTGTGCATAGATCGACTTACAACAAACGTGTAAACATTTCTGCATTCGGTTCAATACGGCATAGGCTACAAAAACAACAGATCAGGAGGAACTGAAATCACAAAGATCCTAATCTTGTTGAGGAAATGTATACAACTTGTCCTCTGATTTGTTGATGTTCAAGTATGTTCAGTTTACTATGGTGTAAAATATTACTGCATTACAATGAATACTCACCTTTCAGAAGATCTAACTTCTATCACACCTGAAATATAAGTTATAGAACTATTAGTACTCCGAGTTTTTTGGTCAAAATTGCCACTTGTTTAGGATTAAATTCACTTGTGTTAACAGTAAAGACTCACCAGCCATGTTTTCGCCTCTTTGCACGTGGTGTGTTCCTTTCTGTTATTTCCAGTGCCTCTCTGCCATTTTTCTGCCGTAATCCCGCCATTTTGGATTTTTGTGGAGGTTTCCGCTGACAACTCGTTCCCAGACTTCCGTTCCCCGTTCCCCGTTCCCCGCTCCCCGCTCCCCGCTCCCCGTTCCCCATTTTAGTAACATCCGTTGCAGGCTGAGCATCACACGATTTTTTTCTTTGCTGGAGTACAACTTCAAGTATATCAACAAGAGCTGCTCTTTTAGCCCTGTCTAAATCTATATATTAGCGAGTTTGAAAGAAATCGAAAGCGCTAAACGAGGTAAACCACCATGCCACTTCACAGTCCTTAAATTCTTTACTAAGTCCTTAAATTTTCCGTAAATTCGTCGGGATCAAGCACATTCTCTAACAGGTGGCTATCTTGGTTTCAAACGTACCGGGTTTAGCCTGGGGACGATAATGATACAGATACAGTATTTGTTCTAGAATAATAGCAAGGGGGGTATTTGCTTGCAGGCCACTAGACTATTGTTAATCCCGGGGGGTACTTCCTTATAAGAGGCTACTAGGGATGTGCCGCTTGATGGGGTCGTATTTTCACGACTGGATTAACTATAATGGGTTCGCATTTTCAATAGAGTTACTAGAATGGGGTGGCACATTTTCGGATTTTTTGAGGTAAGACAGTTCTTCATATTTACGGTTAGCAAACGTACCAGAATGTTTGAACTGTAGATGAAAGGTGAAGTGTTCTTTATTCTAAAAAATGGGTCAATTCATAAAAATAGAGAGTGCCTAATTTGGGATCGCGAAAAATTACATATTTGCCCAAAAGTGGCTAAGATGGGGTCTATAATTGATTGGCCACAGAATAGACTATAATGGGGTAGGGGCTCTGAGAGGGCAGCGGCACGTACATACATACATACATACATACCCAGCAAACTCCCCCCCCACCCCTACCCGGGTTGTTTACGCACTATAGGTTCTTATGCATGCATGATTCTTGATATTGTAGCTTGTCAACGAAAACAGCAATAAATATAATAGACTACTCTATTGATAAGATAATTTCCTGCCTTTCAATTTTAGTCAGACTAGCAAAAAGTGTTTGCGCGGCGTAACGATTCCAGATGTAGGAATGCGTGACAGGCGCCATCATGTGATATCAGTTTTGTGTACACAGCGAAGACAAGTCGATCGGATCAAGCGCTGTAAACAGGTACACCTGTAGTATTAATGCGTTCGGCTTAAAGGCTTTCCTTTCCTGCATGATGTTCTATTGTGTCAAAAGTCACAAAAAGTTTAAAATACTCGATACATTTGATGAATTATTGTGTTATTCGGGTTTTGCATTAAGACCTTCCATCGTGTATTGTAAACAGTCATAACAGAAAATAGGCATATTTCGTCGATCGACTGTGGTGATAAGTCTGAAAAGACATTTTGTTTAGAAGATGTGGGGATTTTGCACAGTGCTAGGATAAAAATATGCATTTTTGAGTCATTTCCTGCGTACGGCAAAGTGGGTGTAAATCAAAAAATATTTAGTAGACACGAGTTGTTTTTGAAGGGCCAAAATTGTGTCCATTACATCATTTAAGGACCAATTTAGTCCTAGGAAGTGAAAAAAAATCGTTGAAAGTGCAAAACTTTGAAGTGGTGAACTCGGCAATATGCGCTATTTTTACTCTTTGTCACTGCAAATATTTGGCCGCCGAGTGCTGAAGTGATTTTCCTCCCGAAAAATTTTATTTTGAAATATTTTCAAAAACTAATGCGGTTTAAATTACTTTTGGACTAAGATATATTCATGGACAAAGTTTAAAGGAAATTGATTTTCCGACCCGAAAGGCAGTGAACCGGTTTTAGGGAGACTCACTCTTAAATGATTGACATGCCACGCATGTGTTACAGAAATTACGACCCTTATGAAAAAACAAAAACGAAAAGCAAAATAAAACAAAAAACGAGCGAGGTTGCATGCGACGAAACGAAGGCCTGGTACAAATTTCCCTAAAATAGTCAAATATAAATCCCCAGGTGGTTCAAAGCTTAACAACTAGGCAGGCTAAAGGGTTTATTTAGTCGTAGTATAAACAGGTTACAACCGAACACCGTCAGGCTACTCAGTTGCTCGTTAATCGAATCGCAGCGCAATGTAAGGCCTGTTTCGAACGTCGTGCTACTGCCGTGCTAAGCTGGCTCGACTGCAGCACGACATTAGCACGACTTGGTTTCAGACGTCGAATTTAATTCACACAATTACAGTCGATGGAACACCTGTTTCCAAAAACAAAACACAAAAATAAAGAAACGGTTTAGAAAACTTTTAAATATATTCTAATGTATTTATAATTCATGAGTTGAGTTCGGCACGGCGGTAGCACGACGTTTGAAACCAAGTCGAGCTACTGCCGTGTAGCACGGCAAGGGTTGCCGTGCTACACGGCAGTAGCACGACTTGGTTTCAAACGTCGCGCTACTGCCGCGCTAAAGTCGAATTTAATTCGATCAATTGAGTTTGGCACGGCAGTAGCACGACCTTTGAAATGGGCCTTAGAGAGACTTCTAGCCTAGGTGTCGTCCCAAACGATAGTGGATCAACTTATGAACGCTGCTTTTGTCCATGAAATATACTAGAAATACGTTTTCGCAAAAATCTCGCGAAGCTAACAGGGTCAGCAGTAAGAATAAACAATAAAAAGCCGAAGGGTAAAAATACGATGAAAGAAAAAAAAGAAACTGGAAGTAGCCACGCCGGGATTTGAACCTGCACCCCAACTTCCTCCAGCGAAAAAAAGTGCGGTTTCTGACCACTGGCCCATGCGACCACTGCTCCGAACGCTAGGTAAAATTTAAAATAGTGCTGAAGTATTTTTCTCTGCCATTCACACTGTTTGAACCTTGTGGAGCTGTATTTATGATGAATTCAAAGATACATTTGAGGAAAAATAGATCAAACGAGTATTTCAAAGCTATTTTGCATTATTTCCGTGTTTTATTCACTTTCGGGCTTTTTATAACGGCCGCCCGATTAACCTGCGACCGCTCGATGAACGCACACATCTTCTTCTTCGTTGCCCTCGCTGAAGTTCAGGTCGCCGTTCTTTCGGTGTTAAATCTTCCACGGCAAGGATTTCTAGCCACTTTTCGAATCGGGCACTGTTGTGTTTGCAGCCCGCTGTTATTGGCCTCAGAAATACTTTGCTATTCGCCAGGCGATTCGTCAACGTAGAGTAAATAGAAGAAGAATAAAATGAGCCCTAGTCGGTTGCCATGTTGCCTGGAAACCCAAAATGCACGATGACGTCATGCTAAAAATCGCCGTTCGCTTGCGATCCTCGCGTGATCCGCGTGCTGCGCGCGCGACAAAATTATACTTTCGCTCCGCGAGAACAAAACGGAAGTCCTGAAGTGCTGTGAGCCCTTTGAATACGCTTCAAAGTGGCAGATAGAAGCTATAGGAGCAGTTATACGGAGTAAAATCTGGAGCTCTCAAATTTATCCTGAAACGACATCAGATGTAAAACAGTTTTTGTCCATGTTTTTATAGCTCTTAACATGAATAAAATTTAATTCCATATCCAATTTACCTTCAACCAGTGTATCTACCCACCATTTTAAATGAGATGACCCTTTGGGGACTGATGAAAACTTTCAGCCAAGCTTTCTTTCTGATTCTATTTATGTCTGATTCTATATTTGTTGTTGTTGTTGCACGACCCCATATGTAGCCTATGTTCCACTGTACTACTAGGATTAGCTCAGTCGGTAGAGCGCTTGACTGCAGAGCGGGAGATTGCAGGTTCGATTCCAGGGGTCGGACCAATACTCAGGGTCTTAAAATAACTGAGAAATGAAGGTAGTTACCTTTGCCCTGTTGCAAATGGCTACACCTTCGCGTGGCCCTGATGACCACGTAAAATGGTGGTCCCATCTCCGGTAGGAGACGTAAAAATAGTGTCCCCAATTAGTACTTTCGTGCTTAATACATTGACACTCAAATATGTGAATCACTTTCACAGCAGTGGTCTTCCAGTGAGTCGTAAGTTTAAAAAGAATATTACATGAGTTTTTGGTACTATTTTCAAAATAGACAACTAGGATGTTCTGCATGAACTGGAAGCTGCGAGGGATTTTCGTCGAGAAATTATCTGGGATTTTTTCTCGCTGACCTGGGACTTTTTTGCCAGGCCTCGCGCTATCGCTCTCGGTTCCGAGCCTCCTCTGGTAACTCGGATAGCGCGAACTGGCCTGGGTACGAGGCTGCTAATAATTTATTCTAATATAAAATTCCTAAAGATATCCAGACACTAACTTAACGCAATGTACATTTTACAGCTGATTTCACTGTTTTAAGGCAAATAACAATTTACTTGATAAGATTTTATAAGTACGATACTTATTGTGGCGTAGACGTGAATAGCGGGTAACCGTATTCTAGTTGTTGATTTTACTTCTTTGAACTCCAGTCCATATTTTCTTAATTTTCCTTCAAGGACTACCTTGTACCCTCGTCCCATTACATATATGTAGTGTAAAGGTGAATGTATGAAGGACCTTCCTGCTGCAAAATGTAAATACTTTCTCCTCTCACTAGACAAGAGAAGCATGGTTCTCGTTAATCGGCACTATCTGTAAAACAAAAATGTTCGTTTAGAACGCGACTGAAGTATGTCGAATAGCCATTTCCAGGCGCTCAGATTGTGGGGGCGACCCTCAGAGAGATGCGAGTAGGAAAAAAGGGCGAGGGGGTGGGTAGGGAGCAATGCGTATTTTTCCCGACCCACTCTACTACCAAGAAGGCCAACTACTGGGAGTCGACGGCCGGCCGAGACTATTAATACGAAGGTCAGTGGAAAAGTATCTTCTGTATGCTTAACCTATTTCCGATCCGTTTTCTTGTTGATAAAGTCCAGAAAAAAGAGAAAGAAAAATTGTCATTTGTAGGATGATGAAGAATTTTTTACGATCCCAGCAGCCGGTGTCATGCAATGCGAATTCAGCATCAATATGCAAATTTTAGTCGAATCCTTCAATTCTGAATCGCGTTTTGCCGCACGTTTTATTGCATAACTTGACAAAATAGCTATTAATCTTTAACTAAAACATGTTTTTAGGTCTGGCTTAGGTGCCACATTAGAAAATTTTGTGATGTTTTTGAGGCATTTGTTCGTGCATTTTGTTTTCTTAATTAGATTTGTGAAATAAAGACGACCAGTTTGTAATGTAATGTGTTCTCCATTTACCGTTTGAGGGAGGTGCTAGGTGACTGTACGAAGAAAAAGTATCCTACCTGCCGACCTATCATGCAGTGTTATATTTGCTCCAAAAAAACTGCCGCTTGTCAAGATCGATCAATGTAGTAGGCATGGAATCGAATTCTTCCCAAACTACATTTTATACATTTTATAGCTATTTTTATTTGTACTTAAGGTGGCTCGACCCCGTATCTTTGTAGGTACACCTTCCATCTCTGAATCTCTTAGACTTAAATTTATCTTTATTGTAAAACCATTATAACACATGTATTACACATATATTAAACTTAATTATAATATTATTTTTTGGGCGATCGGAATAAATATCACTAATTGCAGCCCTTATGGGCATTTTCTTTAGAAATGTTTGACGCTGCCTATACTTTGAGTGCTTGTCATTTGTTGTGCGAAGTTTTACAAAAATCTGTAAGAGTAATTTCAAGATATCTTGGAATTTCTACACAAAGGGCATAAATTATGCATGAACTGAAGACTGGACTTAATTACCCTGGTCCCAGAGGTTTTTCTTGATTTTTCTTCGCGAAAGAGATCAAGAGCAAGCCGCGAAGCGGCGACAACGAGTCGCGAAAGCGACGAGGAGAGAGCGAAAAACCTCTGGTTACCTTGGCCTCGAATCTCACTTTCATGCAGACGACAGGGTCAGGATCTGACCCTCGGGCGTTGATTGGTTGATATTTTTTCAAACACGCAAACCAATTTGATTGGCTTGTTTAATTGTAACTACCGAGGGGACGCTGAGGATTTTCACACCTCATTTCTGAAGGTAAATTTTGCCTCTCTCTACCAGGGAAGAAAATTGTTTGTATACTGCACTCGCAATAACATCTGCACGGGACCAAGGCACGTAAAGGCACGCCATGTTTCGAGATTTTGACTTGGATGTTGTTCCTGAAAGAATATTCGAAGAAATTTTGACCTCGGTACTTCATGAGCGCTTTCCTGAGTCTCACTGAGCAACGAAAGAAAGCTTTGTTCGCCGCCTTGAGTCGAAAGGATGTGTTCACCATTTTATCAACCGGACATGGAAAGTGTATAATATTTCAGTTGTTACCAGCTGTTTGCAAGTACCTTTCCTTAAGAGGATACTCATACCCTCGCCATACAATAATTTTGGTTGTCTGTCCTCTCAAGTCTGATCTCTTGTGGACTCGCATATCCGCGAACTGCGAAACCGTGGCGTCTCAGCAACCAGTTTAAGCAGTACAGACGTTGACGACCAGAATCTCGTGACTCGACGTATTTACCATTTTCTGTTACAATACTGTCATTCCATTAAATAAACTGACTTGTTTAGGGCAGCAAAATATAAATCTCCGAATAAGGAATGAAAGTTTTCTTGTAGGAAAAAAAACATACAACTTTGTACAAGCAGGTAATCATTTTCGGTGCAGCTTGCATTTTCCTGCGACGCTCAATATTTATCATTAAAGATCTAACCAACGTTATTTTTGGCATTGGGTCAACAGAACAGAACAGAACAGATGACAATGTTTGTGAAAAATCCTTGTTATTATTCCCAAAAACGTTGATTTTAGATCGGCAATTTGTTTTTACATAAATTCTGCAAATCCTGCAGCAGTCGTTTGGAACAATGTTGGTTTCTTTATAAAGTGGTGTTCTAATTCCTGGACTCTTGTCGCCCATTGTTAACACATGCTTTAGCTTGACCCCGATTAACAAATCACTCTTTAGCACCCAAAAGGAGATGGTTTGTTCATAACATAATTTCCCCAGGTCTACCCCCGGTTAAAAAAATAGCGGCTGATAAGCACGTGTTTGCTCAATTGCCATTGGTCACTCTTTTTATTAGCAATTAGACGCGTTTGACAGCTGTTGTCTGCATGAAAGTGAGATTCGAGGCCAAGGTAACCAGAGGTTTTTCGCTTTCTCCTCGTCGCTTTCGCGACTCGTTGTCGCCGCTTCACCGCTTGCTCTTGATCTCTTTCGCGAAGAAAAATCATGAAAAACCTCTGGGACCAGGGTAGGACTTAATGCAAACAAATTTGCTACTTTCTGGATGTTTCCGAAAAGTTTTTATCACTCATTCGTTTTGTAAATGACCCTCATACACTCTACAACCGGCTAAACGCAAGTAGACTTGCGTGATTTCGAAAAACACGAAAACGTAAATCAGCAATGCTGAGCTCTTTTGTAATTTTAAAGGCTACTTTCACGAAAACAGCGATTTAACCAAAATTCGTCGATAGATTTTCTTTAAAAAATTTCAGTGCTGCAATTGATCAATGTAGAATAAAATTCTCGAATTTCGTGTCCATTGAAAACTTTTTAAGTTGTCTAACGTAGGTGCAAAGGTGAGCTTTATGCCTGAAACTGTACTCTAGAAACTACTTTTACAGTTTTTATCTGTTTGAGCTCAAACTTTGCAGGATTGTAGAACTTTGTATTCCAAACAATCATATGTTTTTGTTTTTGTTTTTGTTTTTTGTTTTTCAATTTTTTGAAATTTTTTTTCGGTTTTTGGCGGGAAATGAGGTCACATGATTGACAGCAAAATAAAAATTGCAACTAATGATGTGAAAAATAAATAATTTTTAAAGAGCACGACGCGACAAAATCAATTGATGAAAATTTTTTGAAAAGCTGATTGGGTTAAGGAGTTATTAAGCTTTAATTTTTGAATGTCCTGCCATTTTGTTACTTTTTGAAGAAACATAAGCACATTTCAAAATGCTATATATGCTAAAGCAATTGAGTTTTTCAAAGAGTTATATCACATTTTTCTATTTCGTCATGCTCTTTAAAAATTATCTATTTGTTACGACACCAGTTGAACTTAAAATTTTGTCGTCAATCATATGACGTCATTTTACCGCCAAAAACCGTTAAAATCGAAAAACAAAAAATATTCGATTGTTTGAAACACGCTAACTCGTCCTTTTATTACAATAAATTTGGATAGCTACAGGCCACGTGAGTAAAAATGCTGTATTTATTACACCCTGCAGATCGTTTTTTCGTCTCATCCTGAACGAAGAAGGTCTTTCATGGCTCGCTCCACTTTAGCAGGTTTTGGTTCAAAATCAACGTCAGAGAAAAAAAGCAAGGTAGGTCAACAACGTTTTGGGAGGGTTGAATTGTATAGTAAACTGTGATTTTCTTATACCTTTAGCTGTATTCGTAAATGATTCTCATATAGCATTTGAACTTTCTTTTAACTTCAAATTATACCGCTACTGTCGTTACTTCAAGGCTACTAATTTCTCTGCCAAAGAGACGCTGTCCATATTGAATTATGGGAGGACTTTTGCCTAGCCGTCCAGCGGAATTATGAAATCGCAGGATAGTGGGTATCTCAAAAAACGCCAGGTCAGCTTTACGCCCGAAATTGTACTCTAATGAACGACTTTTAAAGTTTGTATTTGTTTGAGCTCGAACTTTGGAGGATTGTAGAACTTTGTATTCCAAAAAATCGTGTGTTTTTGTTTTCATTTTTCAAATTTTAACGGTTTTTGGCGGGAAAATGAGGTCACGTGATTGACAGCAAAATTAAAATTTCAACTAACGATGTGAAAAATAAGTAATTTTAAAGAGCACGATGCGACAAAACCAATTTTTTTAAAAAATTTTTTTGAAAAGCTCAATTGGTTAAGGAGTTATTAAGCTTTAATTCTTGAATTTCCCACTATTTTGTTACTATTTTAAGAAACGTAAGCACATTTCAAGATGCTATATATGCTAAAGCAATTGATCTTTTAAAAGAATTATATCGCATTTTTCTATCTCGCCGTGCTTTTTAAAAATTATCTATTTGTTGCGACACTAGTTAAACTTAAAATTTTGCTGTCAATCACATGACCTCATTTTACTTCCCAAACCGTTAAAATCGAAAAACAGAAAATACCCGATTGTTTGGAATACAAAATTCTACCATCCTGCAAACGTTTTATTGTTTATTGTTGTTTATTGTTTTGTTTGCCATAGGTAAATGTACAAAGCAAAAAATCTAATTATTTAAACTCTCATGGCGAGGAAGCCCAAGAGAAGCCACCGGGCTTATAAGGAATGGGCTCCCTCAGTTAAATAATTAGAACAAAATAATATCATAATTACACATTGGAAAAATCAATGGCAGAGCTACAGTAAATCCTAAAATGTATTAGATAGTCGTACTAATCATAGTTCTAGGCTAAAAAAAGCGAAATGACAAAAAGAAAAAAAATGAAACTAAAAGAGCAAAGGTAAAAAAAAATATACATATATATATATAAAAGTTACTATTTATGATAAGAGGAATGCTTTCAGCTTACAGCAAAAGGAAGCGGTACTTGTTGCATTTCGAATTTCAGAACTAAGACAGTTAAAAAATTTAGGACCTTGGAAACTGATGGAGAACTTTCTTATATTAGTCCTGCATTGTGGTAAATAAAAAAGCTCCGAACGTCTAGTGCCATAAGAATGCACCTGGCGTGTCACCAAAAACATATTATTGAGGCTATAAGGAAGTAAGCCAGATCTGTATTGATACATAAATTTTCCTATTTGAAGTTTGTAGATACTCTCAAGATTCAGAAATTTTAAATTTTTAAATAAAGGGTCAGTGTGAGCATCGAAAGCACCCCTCGACATTATTCTTACGACCCGTTTTTGAAGTGTGATTAATCTTCTGAGGTTTGATGGGTAGGTCGATGCCCAGACGCTCACGCAGTAGAATAAGTATGGGTAGATAAGGCTAAAATAAAGCATCCGTAAGGAGGAATTATTAAGGCAAAAACTTGATTTATAAATTATACCTATGGCTTTAGACACTTTCCGAGCAACATTATGTATATGTGATTTCCATGTTAAATGTTCATCCAGAATTACACCAAGAAAAGTAGCTTCCTTAACACGATCAATCGAATAATTACTGATATTAAAAGCTAGATCAAGTGTTTGCCTGTTTTGTCTCGGTCTGAATATGATAAAATTAGATTTCTTAACATTAATAGATAGTTTATTTGTATAAAACCAACACGTTATCTTTTTCAATTCTAAATTTACAACTTCCATAAGATAGGAAGCATCAGTATGGGAATAGAAGATATAAGTGTCATCAGCAAATGGTATCAGCTCTAAGACCTTTGACACATTACATAGATCATTTATATATACTAAGAATAACAGGGGACCTAAGATAAATCCCTGAGGGACTCCGCAAATGATATCTAATGATGAAGAGTTGTAAGCACTATATTGCACAAATTGTTTTCGACAAGAAAGATAACTTTTAAACCATTGTAAAGCAATACCACGTACTCCATAATGTTCGAATTTGTCGAGCAAAATTTCATAATTTACTGTATCAAAGGCCTTAGATAGGTCAATGAATAGGCCTAAAGTTACCCTTTTATTATCAAGTACATTTGAGATCTTGTTATACAATTGGATTAAAGCATGTGCATTAGAATAATTTTTTCTGAATCCATACTGATTCCGGAAAAGAATATCATATTTATTTAAAAAATTAATAAGGCGATTATAGACGATTCTCTCTAGGAATTTAGAGAAAACTGGTAACACTGATACGGGCCTGTAATTTGTGAACAAGGATTTATCACCAGATTTAAACAATGGAATAACTCGTGCAATTTTCATTTCTTAGGGTACAACTCCAGAATTAAGATACAAGTTAATTATGTACGTCAATGGTGCGCAGATTAAGTTAAAAGACTCTTTAACAACATTCATTGAAATACTATCATATCCTAGAGCAGTACCGGATCGAAAGCTGCTACAAATCTCACTGACTTCTTGTTCTGATACCGATTGAAGAAAAAATGAATTAATAAAGCCTCCATTCAGAAAAGAACGATGAGATTTGTCAGACGCCGGAATTGATTTAGCTAAGTTAGGTCCAATATTCGTAAAATACTCGCAAAAACGGTTTGCTATATGTGTAGGATTAGATATTTCTTCTTCATTAGATTTGAAGATGGAAGGCAACTTACACTTAATTTTCTTCTTGTTAATAAGATCGTTAAGTAATTTCCAAGTTGATTTTGCATTTGATTTATATTCATCTAACTTTTTATTGTAGTAGAGACGTTTAGCAACGCGAAGGGAAGGTGTCAATTTGTTTTTATAACTCTTGTAAAGTTTCTCACGGTATGAAGTTGGGTTAGCAAGGAAACGCTTGTATAATAAATTCTTTTTTCTTACCGATTTAAGAAGACCTTTAGTTATTCATGGTTTGCTCAAAGTAACATTCTTTACTTTCACTTTTTTGAGAGGAAAGCAGTCATTGTAAATGGTAGTGTATTTATCGAGAAAACACCGATAAGCGCAATCAGTATCTTTATCCCAATGAACGTTTGCAAGCCTATCTTTAAACTTAGTGACATTATTTCCACTTTTGTCACGAAAAGAAAGCCAAGAAGTTTTATTTAAGTTCTTGTTTTGATCAAGAAGCAGTGTGAAAATCGGAAGATGATCAGATATATCACAAAACAATAGCCCGCTAACAGATAAGTTGTTCAAATTATTCGTGAAAATATTATCAATTAGCGTAGCCGTGTTAGAAGTTATTCTTGTCAGACGTGTGATCAATGGAAAAAACATTCTTGAATACACAGTTTCTAACAATTCTCCAGTTGTGTCGTGACGATGGTGGTTGATTAAGTCAAGATTCCAGTCACTTAAAACATAGCAAATCTTGTTTTCCTTAGAGATACTTGCAAGCAACGAATCCAGACTATTCATAAAATCTTGCAAATTTTGATTTGGTGGCCTGTAAACCACACCTACAATTATATTTTTCTCTTTCGGCCTATTGATTTCCATAAACAAAGACTCAGCACATTCAGTGCAAGAAAAAACTAAGTCAGGTCGACATTTAAAATCAAAATTGTCCGCTAAATATAGACCTACACCACCACCTGTCCTATCTTTACGTGGATTGTGGACAAAATTATAACCAGAAATATCGGTATGATGGGATGAGTCTCGAAGCTAGGTCTCAGTTATATCAATAAAAGAGAACCTCAACTCTAGATTCTTTAGCAAAGTGGTTAAGCTATCCAAATTACGATGAAGGCTACGAATATTAAGATGCAGAAGCGATAAACAATTATTGATTTCTAATATATTTTTCTGATGCAACATTTCATTGAAGCTTTCTTCGGTATAATATTCGCAGTCAACTAACTCCGAAAAGAAATTAGCATCAGGATCATGATGGCTACAAAGGCTAAATTTTTTATGGGTTTCAGATAATAAAGGATTAAACCTGAGGCTAGCTAACCTATCGGGATCGTAACGTATAGGTCCATTTAACTGCTCAAACATAGCCAAACGAAAGTCTTCTTCGTTTAAATGAATAAACGGTAATTCTTCCATTAATGAGTCGAACAAAAAACATTGTGTAATATACTTATCTTAATCATTTGAAGAACCGGAGGGCTTATCACGAATGATCAAGCGATCTAAGATAAAATATGCTGATTTTCCTGCTTGCTTGGCCGCCTTGAGCTTCTCCAAGTGAGGTTTCCTCTTTTCAAGCGTCGCTTGCGAAAGATCTTCGCAAATAAACAGTCCTTCTGGTTTTTCCTTTCTTGCCTTTCTTATTACAGTTTCTTTCTGCTTCCAACTACTCAGTTGGCACACAATAACTCTAGGCTTTGCATCAGCTTGGTGTTAATTGATTCCTCCAGACTTTCTACGCTCAACACGGTGAGCGTGCTCGATGTCAACTTCAATGTTGAGCTTCTCCTTGATCGCGGCCCTCACTTTCGTTTCAGCCATTTCCCAAGTCTCGCCAGCCGATTCTGGTATACCGAATACTCTGATGTAGTTTCGTCTGCTCTGGTTTTCCTGGTACTCTATTTTGTTTCCCTGAAGCTCCACAGTGTTTTTGATTTCAACAATATCCTTTTCGGCGCCCACGAGCTTCGATTTTAAGGACGACAAATCTCCGAAATCCTTTTGTGTAAATTCAAGGCTTGCTTTGAGAGACGCGATTGAGTCTGCCAACTTATCGACTCTTGCATTGACAGTGGAGATAAAGGAATCGAAAAGCGTTTTAAGCATGGACTGCTGAACATCAAGCATTTGCTTCAGTGTAACAATGGAGACCAATTCTCCTTCATCTTTAAGAGCTTCCAAGTTCAATTCGTCCGCTGCAGCATCAGACGATTGATGTTTCTTTGGCTTCCCCATGTAGATCATTCGTCTGCAAATGTTTAAACTAAGACAAAATGCTAATAGAAATGTTGAAGCTAAGACAAAAATCCACTAGAAGATATGCAAAGAGAAAAAACATTACAAATTGACGGAGCTGAAAAATACACGTCCGCTCGTCATGCGTGTTATGACACATTGACAGATGAGTTTAACTAAAAATGTTAGTCTCAAAGGGATAAAAACTGTAAAAGTAGTGCCTAGATTGCAGTTTCAGGAGTAAAGCTGACCCGGCGTGAAAAAAAAAAACGGTTTCCTTTTTCCATTTGCATCGGTTTTTCTTTGCTGATAGGAAAATGTGGCTACACCGACTGAAAGCATTTTGACTTTTTAATTAATTATAATAAGTTTTTAAATTAATTATTGTTAGTTAAAAATAATTTTTCTAAGGATATGAAGGCTCCCGCCAAAGAGTACCCATTGGTGAAGTGGGCCCCCACCTTAAGCACTCTTATTGTTTATTGATTTGGATGTTTAACGGGTCGTGTGTGAGAACAAGAGGCACTCTCTTAATGGATGGGTCACTTTGTTAGGTACAGTTTCAAATTTTGTGCGTATCGTCTTGAATCTATTTGGTCAATTCTTATTCTAGAGCACGGCCTAACATTTCAATCAAGAGTTCGTTCCCAAAACTATTTTCATTCCAATTAAGCTAATGAGTGTAATAAATAAACAAATAAATAAATGAATAAGTGGAGATGCCCGCAGTCAGTTTACTTCATCTGTGTCTCGGGTGGAAGCAAATATATTTTCCCCGATTCTTAGACTTGCTGACATCGTCAATTTTATGTCATATCCTGCCTAGCCGCATGAAATTGAGGCGCTTACTTATTGTGTGGCATCTTATGAGCTGCATTCAATGGCTATATTCATTTTTTTCGTTAAACAGGAAAAGGTGGTTCCAAATAATCTCATGCGCCCGCATAAGTCGCTTGGTGTAGTTTATCTTGAGAGAAAGTACTACTCTTAGTCTATATTTTGAAGACTATTTGAACGTTTTCAAATATTACTACTTATATAGAGAAATTGTCGGTACACTTTTAACTCCTCCAAATCCATGATGTCATGGGATTATCAGCCATGAAACAATTTTTGCTGTGTGCTGTGCAGTGTACATAGCACTTGTTCCTTTTTTCTTCATACTTTCAAAGCCACAGCTTATACTGGGTAACGTCAAGTCACGTTCAACTGGCCAAACCCAACTAGTTTTTATCACATCGTACAGATCTTCCTGTTGGGGCGTCGCCTACGAAGGCTTTTTGCCGCTCGTTACAGTTTAACTGATTCTGGTTCAAAATCAAAAACAGCGGGAGAACAAGCATGATTTCTTCACTCTGCCACTTTATATTGTTTACGCTGTGGAGTCTCCGAATGAAATGGTCGACTTAATAAACACTCTTATCAGTGAGTGCTTAGACCGACATGCGCCTCAGAAGAGGGTTAAAATAACCCGCCTCCCTGCCCGGTGGTTATATGCAGCTGATATCAGACAGCTACAAGCTGAGAGAGATAAACCGAGACTGGATGCGCACAATGCGAATAATGATGAATCATGGGCTGCTTTTAGGGCTATTCCTAAGAAGACCAAGGTGGTTATTGGTAAGGCAAAGAGGTCCTTTTTTATGACGGCTCTCTCCTCAAAACGCCCTAAACAGGTATGGAGGGTCATCCATCGTGTGCTTAACCCTAGTCCCGCAAGAGCCGATCCAGATCAACTCAACAAATACTTCATCGTCACTAACGAAATGACACTGGGTACCACCCCGGATGCAACATCTGATCTTCTGGAGCTAGCAAAGTCATTACCAGAGCACTCACGACGATCATTTAAGTTATGTCGCGTAACTTTCGAGGACGTAATGAAGGAAATACACCACCTCCGCTCAGACTGCTCAACCGGTGTCGATCAAATACCTGTTAAGTTAAGTTAGTAAGTTAGTAAGTGAGCATATTGCCGGTCCTCTCTCCTCTTCTCTGTCTAATCAACGTTATCTTAACTGTGGTGTACCTCAGGGGTCCTATGTAGGTCCTCTACCATTTTGTTATGTACACTTCTACGCTGTTCAAGGTTATCGAACGTCATCTCCCGAGGCTCATTGTTACGCAGATGATACCCAGCTATACGTTAGTTTCAAGCCCGATGATGCTTACGCCCAGGACGAGGCAATTGGCGAAATGGAGGATTGTATTAAAGATATAAGGAACTGGCTTATTGAAGGACGGCTGTTACTCAATGACAATAAAACTGAATTTCTAGTTATTGGAACTCGTTACCAGTTAAATAAATTAAATCCATCAGTACTTCATGCAGGTGATCACACGAATGATAATTCGGTTAACGTAAGGAATTTGGGAACGATATTTGACAATTTAATTAGTATGGATACTCATATAAATCAAGTTTGTAAGACCGCGTTTTACTGTATTCACAATATTCGTAGTATTTCTAAATACCTTTCACAGTAAACTGGACACGTGATCCGAGTCTTCCGATAAACGCGTTACTTTGAGTGGCGTAGCGAAGATCACATTGGAACTACGGAAATTTCGTTGAAATGTAGGATTCCAGGAAAAAAGCTTCAAATTGGAGATGGAAAGTTCGATATTTGTGGAAATAAGAAATAGCGACGGATGTATCCTCTGTTTTATCGAGTATTATTTGTATGACATGCAGAGCTTGTTCTTTATTCCCTTGTTTCCATCGATAAAGCCGGGACGTTTCCCCCATCGTTCAACAACCTTTCGCGTATTTCTCTTCCAAACATGCTAGGTTTCATCAATTTGAACAAGTTTATGGATTTTATAACGTTTTCTGAAAGTTTAGAAGGATTTCCTCGACCTCTTTGATTAAAGGGAGAATATGTGCCGTACGCGTACATTTGATATTTACGAATAATGCACACTCTGCCATGTTTAACACGAACTGCTCGTGAGATTGCCCTCGGTCCCTCTCCGCTCAAATACAAATCAACTATCCTTCTTCTGATTTCCGTACTGAATAAAGGGAGAATATGTGCCGTACGCGTACGTTTGATATTTACGAATCATGCACACTCCGCCATGAGTGACACGAACTGCTCCTGAGACTGCCCTCGGTCCCTCTCCGCTCAAATACAAATCAAATATCCTTCTTCTGATTTCCGTACTGAGGGGTTTACGTGGCCTGAACTCTCGACCTAAAGGGTCATAATCAATAGGTCTGAGCATTTTGAAAGTCCGTTAAATCCTCAAATCTTTCTGCGGATTTTGTAATTTCGTTTCGAAGTTCTCAGATCTTACCAAAATGCCCAAATATGCTAAACGAAACTTGAAACGTTGTCTGAATTTTCGGAATTTACTGGTCACGCGTGACGGAACATCGCTGTAAAACATTAGTTCATGCTCGTCGTTACGTCCACACTCGATTATTGTGATAGCCTTCTTTATGGCCTTCCTAAATATCTTATAAGGAAACTAGAACGAGTACAGAACGCTGCAGTCAGATTAATAACGAACACTAGAAATATGATCCAACCAGCTTTACACAACCTTCACTGGTTACCTGTGCTTTACCGCATCTATTTTAAAATTTTAAATATATAGATTTAGCCAGAGCTAAAAGCGAAGCTCCCGTTAATAAATTCATAATTTAAATCAAACAATAAACTTGTAATCCACAGATCAGGGCACATTCATTTGACTTTTGAGGCAAAGGCTGAGTGATTTTAGAGAAAAATCAGAATTTGACCGTCCAAGAGTGAAACAAATTTTACATCAAGTTATTTTTACACCGAAAAATAGCAATCATGTTCGATCACAGTAGATTAGGCCTGGAAAACAAATAGACCTATTCGTGTATTGTATTTGCATTAGCTCTAGCATCATAATGTGGCATTCACCAGTCTCTCCAACATTGCTCCGTTAGAGAGACTATGGATAATTGGACAACCCCGAAATATAATTTTAAGAAACACATGCGCCACGATAGTCCTTGGTGGCAGCCAATTTACACGTTGCATTACTCTGTCTAAAAGAGAGGCCAAAATAAAAATCAGGCAGGATTTTTTGTGTTCGACAAGTTTTTTTTACTAGTAAATCTTGGCGACGAATCTGGTGGCGTGTAAACCAGCCTTTTAAACATACTTTTTCTCTTCACGTCTCAGGTAAACAGTACACAGACCTCGGACAGAATTTGTTCTTTTTTTGCCCTATTTAAACCTATAATTCTGCAGTTTTTCACAATTTTGCAAGAGAATTTGCACTCATTCAATATCCACGACGATCAAAGCACGCGCTTCCTATGCACAACAAATTATAGCATTGAATTATAAAACGATTTCCGTTAGAAAAATCTGGTCCTTTGTGATATGCGGGGTAATAATTATGGGCTTTCAATGAAAACGATAAAAAAATTCCCAAAATCACTTTTCGGCCAGCCGGACGGGTTCTCTCTTTTGACAGGCACCAAATTTGCAGTGCGATTAATAGAGTTACCATTTACGCTTCAACATGATAGAGAAATTGTTATGTTTAGGTTTTATTTCCCTTTATTCATTAAACTGTGTATGATTTTGTTATGTGTAATCTTTAAAAGCGAGTGACATTTACGCGCGGAGTTTTGAGTATTCCTACATGCGATGTTTATGTTCGACTGGAAACAACCGGTGCAGCGATGAAAATTGCGAGAGGGACTGATAACAATCAATAAAATAAGTTTCATTCGGTGAAACATGTACAGAGACAATAATTTTCATTCAAGAAGAGAAGTATTGAGAGTAAAGTGTCTCAGAAAATCATGAGTCAGGCAAGCATAAGCTTATTTATGTTTTAAGCCGGCTTCCCGGTGTTCGCTCTTTTTCAAGATGAACTCGAGGCAAGAAAATCGCTCAGAGCTTTCTGTTTACAGCCAAAATCATAACTAAATAATCTTCGGAACCTTTTCTTTGAATTTGCGGGTCAAAAAATGTCTCAAGGCTTTTTAAACCTGATACTATTGTAGGTTAGATCATTGCTCTTGTTTTAACTTAAGCCGCATAAACCATACGCTCGACTTCAGGAAACCGAAAAAAAAAACATCAAAAACAATAATGGCTCAAGCTTACCAGTCGAGACACTGCTTCTGAAGGTCATCAAGTGTTCCAGAATCGCTTGAGACTTTTCAACCTTCTTACGCCTGAAGCAAGGGCAAGTGAGTAAGCTCATTTTTGAAAACGATGCCATCCGAAATCGGATTTCCAATGACTTTGACAGGCGGTGCATTTGTCAACAAAAAGCGCAATAAACAAGCCAGCCACGAATTACAGAACAATCTTGATAGCAGCTGTATTTCATTTTGTACCCCAAGTAGAAAAAGACAGTTTAAAACATCACAAGATGACACAAAACTCTCTCAGCTCCAGCTATCAGTAAGCAAGTTTCCAGACGCTGCAAAAATTTTCCGCATAAACTCACCTGTCAAATTTTGACCAATCAGAACATAAAAATTGGACGTACAGCGTGATCAACACGTGACAGTGAGAAAAGTCAAAAGCGATTGCCTTCCCTGCATGTAAATGTAAAAGCCGGTTGAATTTTCGTGTCCGAGATCAGTTCGAAATCAACATTTTAAAAGTGCGGTTCATGAAACACGACTTATTTCATATGCATTTAAAAAAAATTGAACTTGAGCCTTCGATCATTTGAAAAGTAGCAACTTGTCAGCGAATACCTTCTAAATATTACTCGAACTCAGAGGGTCGATACCTGAGCCCGCGATACGGTCAGGCGATACTGGTCAGCAGAAACACTGTTTTGACAGCTGTCAATTAATCAAAACATGGATGTACAATATCAGGTTGCAGGCTCCCAAACTAGCTAGAAAGTGTGAGATTAAACATTGGTATGCCTGTGGTGCGGAAGGACGGAAGGTCGGGTGGTCGGTGTACGGTCACGTGATTGCCGGATTTTCTAGGATGGATAGATTTTCTATAAAGCTATGGGGCTTCGAACTGAGCCCGTGATCAAATAAAATATCAGCGCAAAACTTTAAACGCTACGTGACCTCAATAGATAGAAAAATGAGTCCGCGATCCACTCAGGTGATGATGGTCAGCGTATACTCTAGTTTGACAGCTGTCAATTAACCTTCATTAGAATGGGGAATATTCGAATTACCAGACTACGAGCGTGAGTAGGACATTTCCGTCCGGCATATAGTGGAAAATGCCAGATCGTGTACCTGAGCGAACCTGAGCCCTCGTTATTAGTTTTCTGATAGCGGTCTGCACATGTCTCATTTTGACAGCTGTCAACTGACCTTAATTTGGCCTGCCAATGTAACTTTAAACGACTGTCAGCCAACTGACAGCCTTGCCCGGCGTAGTTTCGTTTTTATGTTGAATTGGTAAGTGTGACATATTATATCAGCTTATATATAGGGGCAAAACGACTGGTCTTTTATCTGAGCCCGCGAGACGGTCATGTGATAATTGTCAGCGGATGTCTGATTTTGGCAGCTGTCAATCTAATCGTACTCATACGGATGGCTTACATAACTAAGAGTCTAGTCAAGTTGTGCAAGATCTATTGTGACATTTGACATCGGCTTACATGAAGTGTGTGTACGGACGGGCGTACGCTACGTCATAACCAAATTTTCTGGGATGGATAGTTTACCAAACTTTCTTACCCATGGTGCTCCGCTGCGCGCGCGCTTTGCGCGCGCGGGAGCTCCGCTATTATTACATTTAAGGCTATATATAATATGTCACCTAGCTATATTAGTAACTTAGTGTCTGTTAAGTCGTGTTCTGTTTATTCCCTTAGATCAAATTCTTCATTATTTTTGGACCGTCCCAAGGGGCGCATGTTATCTACATTTGGAGCTCGTTCAGTTTATGCTGCTGCCTCCACACTGTGGAACAGCCTTCCAGCAAGTATTCGGGAAATAACATCACCCAGCACTTTTAAGAAAAAACTTAAGACACATCTTTTTAATTTAGCTTACAACGAGTAACTTCTCTTGAGGTTGTCAATTGTGTATTGTTTGTATTAGGTTTTATAGATAATATTTCTTATAATTCATTATAGTTATTGTATTTTTATATATTTTTTTAAATTTATGTAAAGCGCTTTTGATCATTTTAATGTTAAAAGGTGCTATATTAAGTGAATAAATTATTATTCTCACTCATTTTATCAATACCTGTATTGCCTCTTCGACGTTTCCTCGGACATGGAAAACTTCTCGGGTTTGACCCATCCCAAAGACGGATTACCCACCGACTACTGAGCGAGAAAGAATTACCGCCCAGTATCTATTCTGTCGACTCTTTCAAAAGTGTTTGAACGGTTAGTGCTGAAACAATTAATTTCCTACATTGATGAGCTTTCTTTATTGGCACCAAGTTTATCTGATCTGGTTTCCGCAAGGGCCATTCTATTACAACTGCGCTGCTAGGTATTCGCGATGATCTCCGAGCTATGAAGAGGGGTGAAGTCAGTTTGATGGTTTTCGCAGACTATTCTGAAGCCTTTGACACAGTTTGTTTTAAGACAGTACTAACCAAGATGCACGCTTTAGGTTTTTCAAACGAATTTCTTACTTGAATGGTCCACTACCTCTTTGATCGCCGCCAGTTCGTTCAAATAGACGACAAGACCTCGTCTATCGAGACTGTACTGTTTGGTGTCCCACAAGGACCGATACTCGGACCTTTTATTTTCAACCTATATGTTTCTGATCTTCAAAAACACATTAAGTGTCCTTGTTACCAGTACGCGGAAGATACAACTTTCTTCGTTCACTCAAAGACGAAGGACTTAGCTAATGGTGTCGTGGAAATAAATGACGCAATATGAAGTTTGGGGGATTACTCATCTAAATCAAACCTCGCTTGAATGAAGCTAACACAAAGTGGATGCTTGTTTCCACCCACCAGATGTCTCGAGCTCAAACGTTACACGATTATTATCAGCTGTGAGCTGTAACGGGAAGCTGCTAAAACGTGTCAACACAGCTAAGATACTGGGGGTCCACATTGACGAACACCTAACATGGGCTTACCACGTGACTGTACTTCTGCAGCATTGGCAGTTCTCCGGAAACTGCGCAACCTCGCACCATACCATGTTCGCAAGCAGTTAGTGAAGTCATTAGTGATGTCAAAACTGGACTACGGGCGCGTCGTCTTCTATTCCCTTCCAGAATACCAAATGAAACGGCTGCAAAGAGTTCAAACAACATGCGCGGGCTACGTACTTGGGTGGTACGATGTTTTAGAGGACTTGCAGAACTGAATTAAACTGGCTTCCAATTATAAAAAGGAGAGACCTAGCACTACTGAAAATCACTCATAAAGCCCTCTACGATGATGTTTGGCCTGATTACTTACGGTTTAAATTCCATACTGTCAGTGCCTGTAACTTAAGATCTCTTGAAGCACCAAATTTGGCTATTCCAACTGAAAGCGGCAGTTTTCAGGACTCAGCAGCGAGATACGTTACCTGATAGGTTAAGGCAAGAGCCTGACTATAACAAGTTCGTTAGGTTAGCGAAGAAGCTCGTGTTCTCCGAACGAGAAAGGGTATGACTGATTTTTATTATTATTTTTAACCGCGCTGTTTTTTAATTGCACGTATTTTTATCAAAACGTTTGTACTTATCCTTAATTTATGGTATATATCATTTTAAATTTAAAATCGGCTTGATTTTTTGTAATAATATTCTGCAGTTGGGGCATTAGTAGGCGAACAGCCACCTCGTGGAAGTACTAGTAACAAAATCGTTATTATTACTATTATTATTAGTAGTAGTAGTTTTGAAGAAATTTTATTGACAACAATGCTAACTATTAAAAATACTATTTACAATTAATTCGCTTAAAAAAAAGAAAAAACTATTCATTCAAAAACACTATTTACAATTCCTGTCGAATTAAAAAGCACTTAATTTAGCTTAAAAAAAGTTAATGTAACTAAGAAAAGTTAGTAGTAGTAGTAGTGGTAGTGGTCTCGTGGTAGTAGTGGTACTCGTAGTCGTAGTAGAAGTATATACTACTACTTTTAATTACTAGTATGTAGTATATGCTACCACTACCAGTACCACTTCATTGCAATTTAACATGTTCCGTAAGAATAGGAGAAAACAAAACTTGATCTTTCTCATACTCAAGAGGTGTACGCCAGGGATATATTTTAACCCCCCTTTTATTTAATTTTATATTGCCGTTACAGTTTAATATTAGCATAATCATTTGTTCAACAGAAAAACGTGATGGAGGTTCCGAAATATCCCCTGTAGTAATTTTTATCTTGGAAATATTACATCATAACAGGCTTTGCTGGGGAATTAAACCAATGAAATCATCTTGAAGCCCAGTGATGAAGAATATATTTCTTTTGGTTTATATATTCCCCTAAGTCTCTTAGCTAAGTATGAATTTTAATATATCGAAGTTGGTCTGTTCTGTTGTTGTTCTGACGTACCCATAAAAATTTCCCGTGGCAAATTCACCATTGGGGAAATCGGTCACACACAAAAAGCTGCTTGCCCATGGGCAACAGCCATTTGCCCATTGCTAAAACAGCAAGTGTAACCGCAACTATTGTTTACGTAATTTTTGGTTTCTATCACCTCATTTACATTTTCCGTTAATTTTTTGTTGATGGCCTCAAGAAACGTTGTTATTTTTTCGTTGGTTTTGTAAACAAGAAACGTGGGTTTCATAATTTTCGCTGTTTCGTCGAGAGCCTTCCATTGCCACATTTGCATTTCTCTGTTATTTTTCGTCGATGGGCCGGCAAAAATTTGTAATTTTCTTTATTTTCGCGGTTTTCGTAACAACTGAGCAAAATGCTGGGATTTTTTCTAAGTTTCGTAGCTGAGTCCCACCCCGGGTTTATCTCGTTACTTTGGTCAAAGGGATGGGCGCTTATTCAGAGAAGAGCGCTGATTACAGGGCGCTATTGGCTATTGATCGCTATTTGGTAGTCTTCCTTGTATATTATTTTATAATCTTCAAGTGACCCATTTTTTTCATTAGTCAGATCAGTTAATCGTTCAAAGGTGTATGGGTACATAGAAAAATATCAGAGCGTTCATAACTGAGTCTGTTGTGTAGTTGTAAACAAGAAACGAAGTTCAGAAATACTTTCATTTAAATCATCCTAGGACAAGAAGCAAGTCCTGATCCATAGGGAGAGAGCTGAGAAGGCAAAGGTAAGTTCAGTGGGATATATGGTGCAATGTAAACTTGTGCATTTTTACAAAGCAAGAAAATATAACAAAGACTTCGCTCCAGGGCAGGTCTGGAAAGACCATATTGTTAACGACTTTTACATAGATTTAACTCAGCAGACGCTTGTTTATTTTGAGCTGCAAAATCGTAAGGTCATTCCTCTTGTTTAACTTTATATTGGTAGTTTAAATGGAAGGAATTTAACACGTGGGGTCTCCGTACTCTTTTAGGTGAAGCGGCACATTTTGTACAGCTAGTACATGTTTCAAGATGTTTCCGACGGCTGCTTCTTTTTTGGGACGAAACATTTTTTCATGTTTCTTCTCCAGAAAAAAAATGTTTTTGCTTAATTTTTATGAGGAAAAATGATGATGAGTCACCATACTCGTTTAGGTGAAAAAAATGGCGATTGATATCTTTTGGTGAGATTGGGCCATAGAACAAAAGCCGCCAATTTTTTCATCTGCACCCATTTATCACGCGTGAAACCCAAAGCAATAGTAAAGAATATTTTTCATTGTTCACTTGGAGAGCCCTCTTACCATGGAACGCCCTGGAGGACTTATTCTCAGTACTCAGTCATTATCTACATTATTCATAGAGGTACAGATAGTTATGTTGTAGAAATGGAGAGAGACCTTTTGCCGTAATTTATTAGCAGAAAATATCCATTCATTAGTGGGAGTAGCTGGACCAATAGTGTTAAGGTATAATTAAGATTGCTCTCTGACTAATGGATTGAAAAAAAAAACAAATACAGGAGTCGAGAGGCCGTCTACACAAGGCTGCTATCAATGGACAGTTCGAAACAATCAAAGGACTTCTTGAAAGTGGTGAAGATGTGGATAAAAAAGATCAGGTTTGTGTCTTGTACAGTTTAATATGTTAATTTGATTTTAAGCCCTCTTCTCACGAGAAATCGAGGAAATCCTCGTATAAATGACCTTCGCGCCTTATGAAAGACGTTAACGCATTGTGCGTATCCGTTATTATAACACATGTTATGTTGGAATGCCGTTGCCCGGACATGACTCGAACAAGACGCGAACCATTTATACGAGCTCTTCGCGTCCTATGTAAGACATACCGTCCTAATTCAGAAGCGTCTTATGTAGGAGGTGTTTTATTGTTCTTAGTATATGTCAGCGGTCGTGTTTATAGCGCGAAGACGTGTCTCTTCGGGCTCTTCCAATTTGAAGCTTTTATTCATCATCATCATCATGTCCCAGTTTCTGGAGGGTTTTAATTCTCACCATGACTCCGTGAAACCACTTTTCCACTCGCCTCTTCTTGACCGGCTGAAGCGTCATCTTGAATTGGCTTGTTCTAGAAGTGCAGGTTATCTGTCCTTCAAGTTAATTCTTTACCCGAACTCTGATTCTAGCTCTCAACTGACGAGATTAACTACTAGTGGCGACATTAGCTTGAATCCTGGCCCAGAAAGATGCTCTGTTTGTGGTAATTCCGTCGCTCGAGACCATCGTTCCCATCCTGCGACTCCTGCGAACTTTGTTGCCACATCAAGTGCGGCCTAATAACACCAAGGGAGTTTAAAAGGCTTCAATCACTCCAAAAAATTTAACTGAATTTTCCCCGTTTGTCTTGCCTTGTCTTCTTCTGTGCTTATTGGCCAGAAATCTATCTCCTCTCCTTCGATCTCTGGCCATGGCCTAAACTCCTTTGGTTTATTTTTAACTTAAGTGCACACTCATCGACATGTCAGAAGATTCAAAGCGTCCTCGACCTTGTCCTTACATCGACACCTGTTTTAGTCAGCTACGGTCTTATCCACTCCAATCATTTAGATGTCACTTTTATCAAGGAGGAAAGCTCTGAGATCCAAACAACCTACGATATTGAGATTCTTAAGGCACTAACCAGAGACTGCAAGATGCTTATTTGCTCTAAATATAACTGATATTTGTCATACCTCTCCTGTGAAATTTCTCGGACACGGGACACAGAAAGTATGCTTTGTCTGGATTAACTGGTTTCCGCCGATTTAAGAGGACATATATGAGCTTTTCGTTGGGACAGACGAAACTGTCCGTTATATGTGGGTGTCCGTATTAAGCGGGTGTCCGTTGGACGGGGCTCCACTGTACTTGCCCGCCAAGGAATTATGAAGGAAGGCCAAACGAAGAAGGGAAATGATATAAATTTATTTTTATTTGTTGTTGTTGTTTGCTTTTTTCTACGATAGCATCCTGAAATTGTTCTGAACGACGTTTCCCTGATATAAACTGACTATCAGCATTCTGAATGAAAAAATGTTGGCCAAGTTTTTCTAATTCTTAATGGACAGTGACCTAAAATGTTGCAATTGGGCTCAATTTTAGTGTTACATTTGGTTTGTTTCTTGTAAACTAGCTAACAAGGACATAGTAAAGAGGCTAAAAATTAGTACAACAACATCCCATTTATTTTATAATAGGCCATCGTTACACTGCACTATTTGGTTTATTTCAACCTCTATTTATGTCTTTCTCTCGTTTATATTACTTTCAACTGAGGTACTGCATTGGCTGAGCTCTGTTTACTGGGCAATGAAGACACAGATGCCATATGGGTGAAAATAGCTATGAGTCGACGTCCTTTCACACTGAAGTAGCGAGGCAGAATAACACATAACTCCGCGTCCCCGCGGGATCAACAATGCGCTCTATAGAGGGGTACAAAGGATTGCCCCCAACCACTCACCCTGTCCTGAATTGATAATTACTCATTCAAGTGAAAAACTCATATTAAATAATTGATTAACAATACTTCTCGGGTAAGGACATAAAAATTCTATTTGTTAACAAATATTTGTTATATAACTACGTTTTTTGTCCTCTTTTCTGTAGTTTTCTTTGACACCTCTTCATCTTGCTTGTTGGTATGGACAGGAATCTGTGGTCAAACTGTTTTTGGAACACGGTGCGAACGTCAACGCTAAGGACAGGGTGAGTCAGTGAACTTTCTTCAATTGAATAATATAGTGCAATGAAGGGGTGGGGTAAGGGAGGTTGTTGTTTGTCCAGTATTACTGATTCACTCAGGAATCTCTTTATGTTGGCCAATTATTAAATTTACCCTAGCAACAGTATTGATACAACTGCCTGTTTTACTATGGTACATAGCACATTTGTGTTATTCCAATGGTAATTTGTTAGTTAAGATTTTTTTGTGCTAATACACAAGTTTTTATTTGTTATTCACAGGAAAAAATGTTTTTGTTTTTGATACCTTCACGTATTACAAATATTTTAGTTATTACGAACTTTACGAACTTTTCAGTGTCCAGTTTCCTTTAATCAGTTTCCTCGTGTTCAGGATCAGACCCAAAATTATTATCCTAAACAGCAACAAAAACAACAACTTGCATAATTGGTGTGGCTGAAAAGGGGAAAGTTGGTCACAAAGTGCTCAACTGAATCTTAAAAGGTCGGCCCCACTTACTCCTGGATTTTTGTGAGCTAAAAAGAACTCACCACCAAGGTGGTACACATACCGGTATGGAGGAGGGAGTTTGGCCTATTCCACGGCCGCCTGTGACCGTTCCTGGGTAAATATGGAAGGTGCACAGACCGCAATAGGGGATGGAGTTGGGCCTCCCCTTGGCGTCGGCTCTGTCCAATCGTGGGCCTCTCTAGAGCCCCCACTGTTAAACCTATATGTATATTCCAGGGGTACAAAATGTCGAGTCTATGGGGCAAAAGTGTGATGAGAGGAGCACTTTATCCCAATTCCCACCTGTTTTGAAAAACACAACTGTCTCTAGAATAGAAGTACACGATAGAGACAACCAAATTGACTAGCTAGATTTCATATCAGTGCATCAGGTTGAAACTCTAAACCAAAAGGGACATCCACGTGTTGACGCAGAAATTGATTACTATAGTGTGTGGGATGGGAGGGAAAAGAAACAGAGTGACGAAGCATATCATGGGAGTGTTAACTAAGGAACATGGCAGAGTGCCATGAAATTGGTCAAATATACAACGAATAGTTCATAGGGTTCAGTTCACGTTAGGTTGCACGTGAAAATAACTGGACAACGGACAAACTTCAACGAAGAGTTGTTAATTAAAATTCATTTCCGGTGATCAATAAATTATGACCTCTCAGAACACGTTTTGATTTGAACGTCTCATTGCACTGGCATTTGCTCTAATCCCACCTGCGAAATCGGCCTCTAACTCTTACCAAGAGCCATAATAGTGCCAAATGTGTAAGAGATATTGCAGCAGGATCATGTGGAAATAAAAAGTTAGTTACCGTATTAAATAAATAAAACCCAGACGGAGTTACCATACTATCACATTTATTCCAAAAGATTAGCAACATAAAACAATAAGCTGAAGTTTATAATACCTCTTTTGATGCTGATCGCTTTGTTTGTCCAGTGAGGGCGTTAAAGAACAAAATTCCTGTCTGGCGGGAAAAGATGTGCTCAACTATACTGCAGAGTCCTGGTAATGTCCTTGAGAAAAATACTGGAGAACCTAACATTTACTTCTTCCACTTTCGACCAAAAATACGTCCACACTTATCTGGCTTCTCCGGCTCCTTTTCCTATTTCGCCAAATACAGCAGTCGGAATAACTGTAATTTTTGACGGTTTCTTTTACAGATCTGTTTGTGTAGAAGTTTTATCCTGTTCCTATGGCATGTTCGCCATCCAAATAGAAGAATTGAACGAAATGAAAAAAGTGTGGAAACCCTCGGCTTCCGACCGGCCGCCGCGGCTTAACCACTTTCAGATCCAACAGAAACGTTTTCACGCGGTGGCTTTAACTGTATTTTACCGTTGATTTTAAAGGATCCAATTGTGTAGAAGTTATTTCCATTTGCTTTGGTAATAAAGTTCGTAGCTGAAGCAGGACAATTTAACCATATCAAAGTCACATTCCTCCACTTTGGCCGCCATTTTTTGGGGGGATGAAAGCGAGTCTTCCGGAAGTCTACCACTTCACCGGAAGTCAGCTGGGTAACCGGAAACTGTTTCCGCATGGTCCGCATAGTTATAAAAATAACTTTTTTGCTATGTTTCCTTTTCTCTTCCTGTATTTCATTTGAGTGCTTCTTCCACCGCATTTTTACACATTAAATGAATCAGCTACATTGCAGTCGTTTATGGATGTTGCTGGAATTACAGCATGCCTGTAACAGAATAGGAATTGTTCCCTCAATGGAGGGGAACTGCTCTTTTTTCTTTGCTGTTTTGGATTACCAATAACCTTTCCTGCGACATCGATAGTTAGAGCCCATGGGAGGAGATGCCTTTTTGTTTTTGTTTTTTTGGTTTTCTCAAACAAAAAAAAAGGCAACAGGAAAAGATTTGATCCCGCAGGCTACCCAAATCGTTTTAAATCTTTTCCTTTTTAAGGATTTTTTTTTTCTTTTGAGGTTAACATTAGATTTTGTTAAAGAACAATTGATTGAGACCATGCTTCAACACTTATGTCCAGGATGGAATGCACATGCAAAATGCACAGAATTTTTTGTTTGTTTTGTTTTGTTTTGTTCGTAATGGCTGTACTGTGTAATTTTTCTTGTTAACAGTACGTTGTGTTACGTTGTGTGGACAAAGCGGAGATATGCAGTTATGTAGAATTACTGTTGTTAAAATGTTTCTATGATAAATAGTCAAAAGTGGGTAACACAATCTGAATAACTCTGCTTCGATATAATGTTTTCAGTTTCAGCGTACTCCTCTGCAAAAAGCTGAACGTCAAAACCACCATTCCATAGTGCAGTTGCTACTGAAGAATGATGCCAGGCCATGTCCTCATCAACCAGTAAGTTATCGCAGATTGTGCACGAAAAACTGTCTCACATTTCTGCTTGAGGTCATAGACTTGTAGCGATAACAAACGCGACCACCACTTCATTTTTTGTAGAACACGTATATCTGCAATATGAATACAGGGCAACCCATATAAACTATTATATGCAAAAATCTACTTACCTGTAGTATCAAATGGATTTCCTCTTTATTACTTGCTCTTATTAACTTGGTCATTTTTTAACAGGTCAGTCTAAGACAACTCTCAAGGAAAGCTTTCACGCAGTTGGATAAAAAGGCTGGATTTAATCTACTCCAGGCGGCTGTCTTAGAGGATGAATATGACATTGTTTTAAAAGCTCATGGACTTCCAAGTTACAAAAGTATCAAAAGACTTTATAGTGAGTGTGCTAAGGACAACAGTAGACAGACTAAGCTGCAGTGGGCTACATGTAATGATGATGCGGAAGGAGCTGTTGAGCTTGTATTAAATGATGGTGCAGCTATTAATGACCGAGCGTCAGATCATGATTACACAGTTTTGTTGCAGGCGAGTCGTTCATCCTCAAGTCAGTTCATTGAGACCCTCATTGATCTTGGGGCCGACGTTAATATCCAAAGAAAAAAGAGTAAAGAAACACCATTAAAATTAGCAGCTGTTTGGAACAACTATATGGCAGTGTGCTTGCTAGTAAGGCACGGAGCTTATGTAGATGTTCAGGATAGTAATGGATTCACACCACTACACATTTCAGTCAGAAGAGGTCGCGAAAATCTTATCAAATTACTACTTGGAAACAAAGTAGATGTAAATATTCAAGATAATGATGGATATTTACCCTTGCACTGTTGTGCCTTTGAGGGTAACGAAAACCTCTGTAGATTATTACTTGAACACAGCGCAGATAAAAATATTCAAGAAAAACACGGATTTACACCCTTGCACTGGTGTGCCTTTAAGGGTAACGAAAACATCGCTACATTGTTACTTGAACACAACGCGGATGTAAATATTCAAGATACGGGTGGATGTACGCCCTTGCACTGGTGTGGCTTTAAGGGTAACGAAAACATCGCTACATTGTTACTTGAACACAACGCGGATGTAAATATTCAAGATACGGGTGGATGTACGCCCTTGCACTGGTGTGGCTTTAAGGGTAACGAAAACCTCTGTAGGTTGTTACTTGAACATAACGCGGACGTAAATATTCAAGATGCGGGTGGATGTACGCCCTTGCACTGGTGTGGCTTTAAGGGTAACGAAAACCTCTGTAGGTTGTTACTTGAACATAACGCGGACGTAAATATTCAAGATAAAGTTGGATATACACCTTTTCACCGGTGTACCAAAGGGGGTAACGAAAACCTCTGTAGGTTGTTACTTGAACATAACGCGGATGTAAATATTCAAGATAAAGATGGATATACACCTTTGTACCGGTGTACCAAATGGGGTAACGAAAACCTCTGTAGGTTGTTACTTGAACATAACGCGGATGTAAATATTCAAAATAAAGATGGACGTACACCTTTACACCGGTGTAACATAAGGGGTAACGAAAACCTCCATAGGTTGTTACTTGATCACAACGCGGATGTAAACATTCAAGATAAAGATGGATTGACACCTTTGCACCGGTGTACCATAGGGGGTAACGAAAACCTCTGTAGGTCGTTACTTGACCACAACGCGGATGTAAATATTCAAGATAAAGATGGATGTACACCCTTGCACCTGTGTGCCATGGGGGGTAACGAAAACCTCTGTAGGTTATTACTTGAACATAACGCGGATGTAAATATTCAAGATAAAGATGGATATACACCCTTGCACCTGTGTGCCATGGGGGGTAACGAAAACCTCTGTAGGTTGTTACTTGAACATAACGCGGATGTAAATATTCAAGATAATGCTGGATTGACACCCTTGCACCTGTGTGCCATGAGGGGTAAGGAAAACCTCTGTAGGTTGTTACTTGATCACAACGCGGATGTAGATGTAGGTTGTTACTTGATCACAACGCGGATGTAGATGTAGATTGTTACTTGATCACAACGCGGATGTAACTATTCAAGATAATGATGGAGCTACACCCTTGCACCTGTGTGCCATAGGGGGTAACGAAAACATCTGTAGATTGTTGCTTGAACACTACGCAGATGTAAATATTCAAGATAATGCTGGATGTACACCCTTGCACCTGTGTGCCATGGGGGGTAACGAAAACATCTGTAGATTGTTACTTGAACACAACGCGGATGTAAATATTCAAGATAAAGATGGATGTACACCCTTGCACCTGTGTGCCATGGGGGGTAACGAAAACATCTGTAGATTGTTGCTTGAACACAACGCAGATGTAAATATTCAAGATAAAGATGGATGTACACCCTTGCACCTGTGTGCCATGGTGGGTAACGAAAACACCTGTAGATTGTTGCTTGAACACAACGCGGATGTAAATATTCAAGATAATGCTGGATGTACACCCTTGCACCTGTGTGCCATGGGGGGTAACGAAAACATCTGTAGATTGTTGCTTGAACACAACGCGGATGTAAATATTCAAGATAATGCTGGATGTACACCCTTGCACTGATGTACTATAGGGGGTAACGAAAACCTCTGCAGGTTGTTACTTGAACACAACGCGGATGTAAATATTCAAGATAATGATGGATATACACCCTTGCACTGGTGTGCCAGAGAGGGTAACGGAAACCTCTTTAGATTGTCGTTGAACACAACACGGATGTAAATAGTCAAGAAAAACACGGATTTACACCCTTGCACTGGTGTGCCTTTAAGGGTTACGAAAACCTCTGTAGATTGTTACTCGAACACAACGCAGATGTAACAAGAATCGCCGAAAGGCGACTTTTAACTGGGCTGCAAAGGGGCTCTTTTTTCTGAGGGAAGGGGGCGGCTATCACTGACACTCAGGCGACCATAAAACCTTGTCGCCGACCATTGCGTGAGACAGAATCTCATGTGAGACTGAAACATAAACTCATTCAGAACATTGTACCCTTTTGAAAGACTTTGGTATCCCCCAAAAAAGAGTACCATTTTTAAGTAGGGGCTGTATAATAACTTTTAAATTCCACCATTATGAATAAAAATAAACAAGTTAGCCATTAATTTAAAGCAGGAAACGATTTGCATTATTTTCACGCACCCCTCCCCCAATCCCTCTGTGCCCCAAAATATAGCGTGACAGTATAACGTGACTAATTTGACGTCACCGGAAATTCCAAAAACTATTGTCGTTCTACGAGTATAAAATGCGACAGACTGAGCTGATTTACACTAGACAGAAATAATAGGGCCATTTATACGAGGAAGAATAAGACGCGTCTTACATAGAACGCGTCTGATCCAGGAGCCTCTGACTGCACTGAGACTTTACTGTGCTTTTCACAAACATGCGAAGGTCCAAAAGCCACTTTCACAATTGCGTTTTTCGCTGCCGTCAATCATAATTACGATCACAAGCAACAAACCTTGAAACATTGAAACACACAAAACGGATCGAAATCCACCAATCCCAAATGTGACCCTCCACAGGAATTTGATGCTTAAGGTGAAAGCACGCTCACGACACAAGGTACAGCTCTTGATTGGTTTAGGTCGTATTTAACTAATCGTACACAACGATGTCTTGTTAACGGTTCTCTTTCTAGAATCTGCTCTCTTAAATGTGGGGTACCGCAAGGAACAATCCTTGGCCCCCTTTTATTTCTTATTTATATTAATGACTTGCCAAACTGCCTTACTTCGTGCCAGCCTAGAATGTATGCCGATGACACCCACATTACTTATGCTGGCGTTGATGTGAATTCAATACAGTTAACTCTGAGTCACGATTTAGATAACCTAAACAAATGGCTTATTTCCAATAAACTTACTTTGAACACTTCTAAAACTGAATTCATGCTAATTGGCTCCAGACAAAAATTGAGTACTTTGTCGAACCCACTTGAGCTCTCGATTAATAATGTTCCGATAGAACACGTTTCCTCTGTCAAATCGCTTGGAATATTTATTGATGAAAATCTACGGTGGCAAACACACATTGACAAATTATCTAAAAAGGTCGCTTCCGGAATTGGAGCAATAAAAAGAATTAGACCTTTTGTCCCTCCACCTACCCTTCACTATATATACAACTCACTAATTCAATCTCATTTCGATTATTGCAATCTTGTCTGGGGTAATTGTGGTAAAACATTATTTGACAGGCTACAGAAGCTTCAGAACCGTGCCGCTCGCGTTTTAACCTTCTCTAGCTATGATGCTGATGCTAACCGTTTGATTAGACAACTCGATTGGAAAGACTTGAGCACTCAATTTCAAATACAGAAATCCATAATGGTATACAAGTCTTTAAATGGCCTTGTTCCTGAATATTTATCATCTAAGTTTGTTAAACGAAATGAAACGCGTTACTCCCTGAGGGACTCTGTTAACAAACTATTTGTCCCATTTCCGCGAACTAATTTCATGAAAAACAGCTTTACTTATAGCGGAGCAGTTCTCTGGAACAGCCTACCCTGTCATGTGAGAGAAGCCGAATCTCTTAGTCAATTTAAAAGATTAGTTAATGTTCATTTTTAATGTTATACACGGCATTCATGAAAAACAGGTTTTAGTTAGATTAGTTGTAGTTAGGTTTTGAATTTTGTTTAGGATAGTTAGGTTATTTTTAATTTTTTAAATTCCTGATGGATTTTACCGTGTTTAAATAAAGATTGACTTGACTTGACTTGACTTGCACGATGCGCTTAGCGTGCCGTAGATCACGGATATGCGCATATTAAATTGAAAAAACAAAGACGGACACACTTGCCTTTGTTTTGGTAAATTTAACACGCCATGACCTTTTGAACCCGTGAAGTAAAGTTGAGTTTCCCAAGAGGTCCGTTAAGATGATTGACAGCAGCGAAAAACACAATCGTCGGTTGGCTTTTGACTTTTAGAATTCGCATGTTTGTGAAACGTGCAGTGAATAGACGATCCTAATTTGCGGTCTACACTACATGAAAACGCACTATTTTTTCCACAAGATAAAAAGTATTCAGTTTTAAGACTTTCCTCTTGGTATTTTTCTCTAACTTAAAGGAAGAAAATCCTTTGCATTTTGTGACCTAAAAAAAGGTTAAAGATTTTTCGCTCGCATGTTGCTTTCATCAGCATGCACTTCAAACAATGTAAATAGATGAAACGATCGATAACATATTTTTTACCTGATACCGATATGAGTTAAAAATTCGCTCCAGATCACTGTTTGCGTCTTACCCATGACTAACTTTTCTTCATGGAACATAACTATGCCGCTTTATAATTCCTACGAAGTTTCTGTGCCAGCTACACAATATGGAAACACTATTCACGGTCCTTGGATATTTTAAAAAAAGACTGAACGTGACGCACTATCGTGCCTTTGTTTACTTCTGATCACATCTTCAAGCGAAGTCTCTCTTTTCAAGCGATTCATCTCAATGCACAATAATTGACCCTTATATTAATTAAAACCCTATGGTTCATTCGTATTAATGCTGTTTTTGCCCCTCACATTGACTGTGTTCGTTAGTATTCAAAACACCATTAGGAAAATAAAGGTCGTATAAGTCATGTGTATTATGTTTCGAGATAAATGGATTGTACGTTTTTGTAAGTTTCCATTTTGCGGTGACTTCAGATCACATCTCCATAAAATGGTGGAAGAAATATCAAGAAACATCACGAGAGCTAAAAATTTTCGAAGGCATGTTTTCTGAAAATTGCTAATGCTAGCTGACATCAATATAGCGTGCTTGCTGAGTGGGCGAGATAACAAGATCATGTACAAATTTAATGATAAAAGCTTAGCAAGATACAGATACAAACAAAAGCAAACCCCCTGAAACCTCGACCTGGGTTACACTTGTATGCCCTACTCAGTGACCAAACCTTGTCTGTAATATCCCCCATTTTCCTCAAGTTAGTCTTTGTGAAGCTCCCGGTGGGATGTCCCGGTGAAGCTTAGAACTTGTGTGCGAAATTCTCAAAGTTCCTATTTTTGTCTGTGTCTTCTTTATCCCCAGTATCCGAAATTTAGACCTCCAAAGTGGCGTGTGTTGCATTATAAATAGAAGGAAATATTAAAAGGAAAAGCCAGTCTTCTGATATGGCAAAGTTGTCACGTCCCTCGCTCATGGACGTTCATTTCTTAACGTCAGGATTCATCTCACATTTGTCGGCGACTGAGTTGTTCGCTTCAGTGAGTACGACAGCTTACAGTCAAGTCTTTAACTACAGTGTCGTCAAGTACTACATCGATCGATAATTCTCTCAACTGCCCCGGCGTTCCAAACCTGACGCTCACAGTCATCTTTTAGTGTGAACCTACCGTGAACGGCGTGTGGGTTTGCATGCAACGTGAGCATTTCTTTGAGTTTCCCAGTGCCAACATCATCAACTGACTTAAACTCGAGCAATGACAAAACTTATAAAGTGACTCCTATGATCGCATCGCTTCGAACAACGCAAATAGCCTTCTTCAGGTTCGCAACGCCTTCTGGGTTTTCCAGGGGGAGCGGAGACGAGGTACAAAAAGTATCCGTGCAAGAGTCCATGCAAGAGAAAATCATATGAAACCATTTGTGAGAACATCGTTTCTCGGTACCAGACCCTCATGTCTTCCCACCCCCGGGGACGCCGTTTTTCTGCACAGACGACCGAAAACCGAATTTATGACTGGGCTTGCCGGGAAACCCAGTAAATATTCAAGATAAAGATGGCTCTACCCCGCTGCACCTGTCAGCTCGTAGAAACAGAGATTTTAGTAAGAAAATCGATCTCCTGGTGAAAGATGGGGTACAAAACCTAAACATCCATGATGCAGAAGGTTTGACTCCTCTTCAGTTGACCGTGAGACATGGTAACTCACAAGCTGTGAAGAAGCTTGTTGACCTTGGAGCTGATGTTAGTGTGGTTACAGCTGATGAAAAGGATGCCAGAAGACTGGAAATCTTGAAGAATAAAGCGGAGAGGAAAAGGCAACATCTTAAGTTTGAAATGAGGTTTAGGCAAAAAACTAACGAAACAGAAAATAAACCTGGTGTCAGTTCTGTTCCAAGTACAGGAAAGCTCACAGAGGCTCATCTCAAATCAAAGAAAACACTGAGGCAATCTTCTTCGTATACAACAAAGGAAATAGAGGACGAACCGGAAGCTCCACAACCGTCGACAGTAGCAAGAGGGAATCCCAAGTAAAAGGCGACTTCATCCTCAAGAACTAATAAATGTTTATGTCTAATTTAGCCTTTTTGCTTTCAAAGTGAAAAAGGGCCAGTTTTTTCTAGCCTGAATTTCAGACGTAGCTTCGAGTCGTTTTTACTCCTTCAGTAACGTCGTTGTTGAGAGGAGAATACGCTAAGCTGTTTCATCAGTTAAAGAGAAGATTGTGCTCTTATTAAGTTAACGTTAACCTAGTTTGTACAAAATTGATGACAAACATAGCGAGAGCAACTATAATTCTCACCTATTTTACTATCATTTTATACTTACAACATTCTCCCGCACACGCCCGCTACTCTTTTACCCACTTATTCTATC